AAAATTGAAAATGCAGATACCCTTAGTTGTGACCAAAGAATTCTTTATGAATATACGGTGGGTTTTTCTAGGGGTAAGGTGGATTCTAGATTTTTATCATGGAAAATTGGTCCATTAAACCAGGCAAGGTGGTTAACTTTAGGCATCAGTCTGATGTGCTTATGGACTCATAATGCATACCCACAAAATATTTCAACCAGACTCCACAGTTTAATAAATTTTATTGTGAATGTGTATGCCATTTGCCAGTTTGAAAATAAAAGAAATAAGTTCCACAATCAGCAAATGTATATTTTCAATATGATCCAAAGGATTAGGAAGCAACCATATGAAATCCAACAGATCACATTGAAAAATATACAATACAATGCTTTCGCCTTACTGCCTGAAAATTATATTCATTGGTCAAATCTGATGAACGGGAAGTGAGGGAAGAAGCTATAAAAAGAATTTTGGTCATTAGGTTAGTAAATATTTATTCATATAAAATTGACTAAATTCGTTTTACCGATTTATGGAATCATTTTAAGGATTTTATCTAATTTCACCATAAATATTAAAGCAGTACAGAGTGCATTTTTAAAAAAATAAATCAAATTAATTTTTATATTCTTTCAAGAGTGGGGAGCAAACCAAGAAAAAATTAAAAAGAATCACAACTATCAAATTTAAAGCTATGCACTGAGACAGTTAAAAGATCTGTCATTAAGGGAGTTTGTGAACCACCACTCACAGAAAATGAACTTGGAATAATTATTAAATGGTACGAAAACTTGACTTTTTAGATTTGCCTCCCATTCTCAAGGCATGGAACGGGCAGTCAAGTTAACAACAGAAGCTTCCCAATCTGTGTATGGCTTTGAAGCAAGGCACCAGCACATAATATCAAAAGCTTTGTGTCAGAAATTGAGACCATCAATTTCATCTGAGGGTTCATATATCGAATAAATTTGACTCTGTATATTAAGCCCTATTAAACTATTCTTTATTTTTTCATATTTGTTTGTTGTATTTTCATTCAAAATAGAAAAAAGCAATTTTTTTAATGTATTCAACTAATACTGCTTAATTCACGAGGCAAAAAACAGCATTTCAAAATCGTCAGTGATAATGGGGGGGGGGACAAATTTTCAATTTGAAGTTTACTTATAATTTCTACATTTTATTTAATTTAGATAAAACAAAATAACATTCCCCGATTTAAATAGTGAAATTGTTTCTTTTTTAACAATATTTAGTCTAAATCTTGCAAAATCGTGGATTTTTCAGTGCATTTTTCTCTACAATCTTTGATGCCAAATGCTCAAAAAAACGTTGAAGTGACAGATCTAATTTTTTGTATCAGTACTTAACTGGTCTATACACAACTTTCGGTACATTATTCTTTTTGATATTTTAAAAAAAGTCAAAAATCGACCCAAGATAATCAAAGAAAGGTTATAACTAGTTCCAATAATTCATGTCACATGGATCAGTTGAAAGCAGTGAATAATTCCAAGTTCAAGGCTAAAAAAAACCAAAAAACAACTGAATGCAGACCTGCTTATGTTACATATTTTGTGTAGCATTCTAGTTTGGAGTTCTACTACACTTATTTTGAATTAGACACTTTAATTCAAACTGCTACACATTTAAGCTAACTGGACGAATGTTAGAAAAATTCTTGATGGCTGCACATTTCTTGTGAAGCTTAATATAGCGGTTTTAATGAACACAACTACCAACAAGTCTTCACAAAAGGACAACACATTTTAGCTACCCCTACTCTGATAGTCCATTGCTGATGTGCAACAAAAGCTTTGTGATAAGTGTGATTTTCTGATTCTTATCAGCTTTCTCCACATTCGCTTGAGCAAATCTTGCGTGTAACTTTCAAGCATGCATTTTTTGGTCTTCAGTTCTTCCTGCCTTTTTTCTTAGGCTCAAGGCATTGGAAGCACATGGTAACATTCCAAGCACTTCCAACTGTGGCCAAATAGTCCATGATAATTCACTGTGACCAAAGTCTGGCATTTCATAACTGTCAATGACAATTTCCTTAGTGACAAAAGTACCAGCAATTTGCAACAATGTTCCAGTTTTTGATATTCGTTGTTGCTAGACAAAAGTATCCAGATGGTCTTCATGCTTGGTGAAATTCTTTACATTTCCAGTAGCCACCAACTCTTCCCTGACTGATGTCATCACAGACTTTCTGTCTTGTTTTCTGTCAATCATGTGGGAAAGACATTTTTTCTTCACAAATGGATCCAGGAGTCAGCCATACAAGTTTTTCTATGTGATGAACAGTCTGTTGCAATTCTGTATGTAAACGTCTTTTGTTAGCCCATTTCCCTTTTTTGGAAACAGATAAAAAAAATGATCATCTACACGGAAAGGAAGCAATGTTTTATGGCACAGATATTTTATCAGAAACAGATCAATGTCAAAAATCTGCAGTTTCACTGGAAATAAAATGTCATTGTTCTCTGAAAGCAGCAGTTTGATGACATCTGACCAAATGTCTACAAGCCGTTCACACATTTGTACATGCCAGATTTAACTTTTAATAAATCTCAATTTCACTTACAATAAAAGCTAGTACAGGTCATTAGCCTACCCACATTAAAAATAAGATTTTCTATTCTATCATCTACATTTTCTGATTCAAATTCGATTCTCAGACTTGTTAGTTATCTAAACTGTTGCCAAAAGTTACCCATAAATACACATGATAGAGGATGTCAGAAAGTATTTTTTTTTCAGCATGAATAAAATTTCCTCAGTTGTTCAAATTATAAAAGCAAAAAAATTTTTTTTTTTTTTTAAAGATTTTACTTTACTTAAAAATTTTATTACTGTAAAATAATTTATTTCCCTTTCAACTACAATAAGTGTAAATTAATTTCTTTGGAGATGTTTAGTTGTCCGACACCTTTTATCTTAACTTTTCCTCAAGGGAAGGTAGCAGCCAGAAAAGACAAGCTTTCTTATTCTTTGTCCCTTTTCCTCACCCCCTAGATGAGAAAATACAAAAGTAACTATGAAGACATGAACTCGTTTTAATCAAGGAAGCAAACCAACATTTGCAATATTTGTCAAATATTACTGATAACTAAAAAAAGAAAAGAGACTCGATTTCAGAGATTTCATGAATTGAGAAAAGGGATGTGTGGGTAGACCACTTTAGGAAATCTCTGGATTTTCCAAGGAGTTTTGGGGGTGATTGCTGTTACTCCACCCTGGAAGAGGTTTTTAAAAAAAAAAAAAAAAAAAAAAAAAAAAAAAAAAAAGTCATGCATTATCACTGACTGCTGACTTATATATGAAATAGAAACAAACCACTGTGCACACTATTGTGATCAGCAGTAAAGGCCAACCAGAAACAACAAGCTAAATTAAAAAGGATATGGTCATCTACCAAGATATTGAATACAATCAGTGAAATGCAAGTGCAGTTTTGTTTAATACTGCCAGAGAAATAAACAAGAAACTGTACATAAATTTACATAGTATCAAAATTGTGGAGAAATTAAAAAACAAAATAGCCTGAACTTGTGTCTTGCATGCATTAAACTGACAGCTATTCACATGTAGGGATGTAGAGAGAGAGAGAGGAAGAAAGAGAAAAAAAAAAAAAAAAAGGGACATGTATGAATTTCACTTAAGCAGTGTTTTTGCGAGATGATGAAAAATAAAGCTTTAGAAATACTGACTCCCAGCAATGTTGGATGTGCGGATTAGATAACTAAAGATTTTGTTTTTTCACACACACACACACACAATATTGCCCTTTTTTTTTTTTTTCACCCTCAATACAATTATTGCAAAGACAGAAATGCAACTGATAGTAGTCCAGATGTTACATTTCTTTTGGCATTACAATTTAAGACAACCATTTGTGTTTCAGCTTCAAACTTTATTGAACTAGAGTCGAAATGTTAGAGATTTTCTTTTTTAAAGTTAAATTCATAGATTATATAAAGTGTCCAATTCATTGATAGCAACTCATTAAAGCCAGTGTTTTTTTTTTTTTTTTTTTATTTTAAAGTTGTTTACTTGTTTTTGCTCCAATCATGAATCAAACAATAGATGCGGCTGTGTCAGTTGGACTGAATATGTCAGTGTCTTCTCAGGCCAAGCACAAATGCCTGAAACATTAGAGGGGGAGGATAAAGAAAGAGAACAACCCATGAATTGTCCTTATAAGATAAAGAGGTCCAACTTTTAAATGCAGTCCACAGTCCAATCAGTTTGACAAATATTTTGCTTATTTCAGCTTTGTCACCTTCATCCTACAGATTAGCAAGACAAATATTTAACATTTAATGAGGAAGAAAATGAAAGAGTGAGAACTTTTATTATTAGCCAATGGATAATAAAAAAGAAAAGGAAAATGAAGATAAAACTAGGAATGATTGTTAGGGAAGAGGAGAAAGAAATAAGGGGGAAGTGGGGGCATAATCTTCAATTTTTGCCCAAGGCAAATGTTTCTCAGAGCAGCCGTTATTTCACGATTTAATATCTTGCCTGTTTTCCCACCTATACAAATTTCATTTCTTTCTTTTCCTAATCTTCCTTTTGCTGATGATCACAACTGGAACTAAAAATTAGAACATCCATGTGAACATTTGTACAGAATGGCTGGAAAGGGGTGGGGTGGGTTTGTGGGTTAGCGATCTCGATACGATAGGATAGGATTTAGAAATAAATTGGCTGTAACAAAGTGAATGAAAAAAAGAAATCAATGTCAGTTAAAAAAATAAGAATCTGGAGGTTTTTTTTTTTTTTATCATTTTGTAGGTTGCGGAGTTATGCCAAAGCTGTTACTGCAAATTAGGTGGTTTGGAGTTTCTGCCCCCAGGGAAACAAAAAGGAAGGAATTTTTTTTGTTTTGTTTTTGTAAATGGAGTTAGTTGCAGCCGCCACTTTCATGTTCATCCTCACCACCACCACAGTTGTTGGTCACTTGAGTTGGGGGTGTGGTCTGCCAGGACCATGAGATGATTACCGTCAGTCTTCTATCTCATTTTATATTGTAGGCATTCTGACATTTCAGAAAGTTCTCCCTTGAAGTCTAATTCAACTGTGAAATCCAAGTCACGCTGAAAAGATATGAGAGTTCCATTTTACATAGAATATGAAGGGAACAAAGAAAACAAAAATAGAATACATTTTCTATTATACAACTTACATTATAACTCACATACGGGGGGGGGGGGGAGAAAGAAAGAAGATAGACAGGTGGAAAAAGAAGCATCAAATGCATTTCAATTGTTATGAGAATTGTCCCCCCCCGCCTTAAAAAAAAAAAAAAAAAAAAAAAAAAAAATCAAATGTAAAACTAATTTTTTTTCTAAATTTTTTTTATTCTGTGGTTAAGTGCATGAACTTTTAAATAAATATATTTTCCTGGTGAAACAGGTTATCAAAATAATTCAGAGGTGTGATGATGCAGCTATGTTTTCCTTTATGAAAGTGAATTTTTACTATCTGACACCTCAGTAAATTCTGACCACAGAAAACCAACCCCTACATACTGCCCGATTCATTACATGGATAGTGGCTGAGAGACACTTTCCACCCAACCAGAAAGGAAGACCACCCAGACAGACACCCCCCCCCAATTACCCTATTTTATGGCTATTTAAAAATCACTAACAAAACTATATTTGATGATTCAAATGTGAGCTGGAGACAGGATTCCTGAGAATCCCTGGTCATTAAATTGACTTAAAAAGGAAAAAGAATATCTCCTAAGGATGCTTGAGAAATCATTGCTATATAAGGGACTTAGAGAAAATTTACAGTTTTAAATGCCAAACTGGAACTAATTTCTTTTGGTCTTAACATCAAGACACTAAAATATTTGAATTCATCAATTGACTTATCTAAGCTTATTTAGAAATGCCAATTGTCAGAAAATCTTAAATGTTATTAATCTTTATTAATAAAACTGTATAACTAATATAATAAGGCTGATATAAAAAAAAAAAAAAAAAAAAAAATTCTTTCAATCCTGGCCTGTTAATATTTTCATTTCTGTATTGTTGCCTGCTATGCTGACCTATTTTGGGGGAGAAATAGGAAATTGGCATTTACTGGAAATAAATGATTATAATGATGCTAATAGCAATTTTTCATGGGCACCACTATTTTGTTTTCAATCAGATACTCTGCAGCAGCATGTAATCATAGTCTATATGTCTAGGCTGGTTGGAGATAGCATCAACTAGTTCATAATACCAACAGGATTGACATTTCATGGTATCTTGAATGTTGGCAACAGGCAATGTAGGTTTCACTGCTAATCACATCTTACTGTCGGAGTTATCTCCCTTATTTATATAACTACGCACTACTTCTCCCCATCCAGAAATTATGACTCGCCATGACTATATTATTATGGTTTTAACTTCAGAGGTGTTAGCATCCTAGATGGGTTTCTCTAAAACACATTGAAAGAGCCTCCTAGTCTAAAAGGAGGAAAGTACTTACATTATTCTTTTTATTAGGTTGCATTCTGAAGGTCCCAAATATTTCTTCACCTTTCTTTACTGTCAAGTATTCCTTCACATAGAATACAGTCTGCTTCCAGTGAGTATACCTGGACTCTGGTGCTGAAAAGGAAGAGAAAGAAAAAAAAAAAAAAAATGAATGTTTTGTTAGATAAAATACCAATTATATGTAAGAACTTGAGTGCATCAATCAACTAAGTGACAAGTTTTATATTTGTGTGTATGCAAGCATATATGCAATATTTAAATGAACCAGTCCTAGAGCATGGATCAGAAATTTGGACATTATCTGTGAGTCTTGAAAGTTGACTGGATGGAACATATACAAATCTACTTAAAATCCACAACATCAGTTGGAGATCCTATGCAATGCTTAACAATTTACAGACAACTGAGACAAATCACTCAAACAAAAGCTTAAAGCAATTTCAGTTTGCCAGCCACCGAGCAAACAGGGAGGTTGTCTCATCCTGACTTCTATGGTACCCTTCTGGAGGTGACTTCTTGCAAAAGTTGACTTTCCACACAATGGCTTGGGATTCAGGGTTGGATATTGGGGAGCTTGAGACATCAATGCAGGACCAAGCAGTAAGGGATTGTTAATAGCGTTCTGACCAACTACAGGGAGAAGTTATGTACACATTGAGTGTATGTACGTATGTATGAGAGTGAGAGAAAATCATTATGAAAGCAATTATTTTAAATGTTAAAATGACACTTACCTGTTGAGAAACCAGTCCGTTTGTGGCATTTGGTGAATTCAATATTGAAAAAGCAGACCAAAGCATGAATATAGTCATTCTTTCTACACTGTAAGTGGAACGGTGCTGTGTAGGTCAAGTCCTCTTCCTTAACGGTGTAGATGTCAACTTCCTGAAACACAAAATGGTATATTAATTTGCAATTTGTCCGATGACAACATTTAAAATGCTAAAAATAACCCAGAGATGCATAACTAACAATAGCTCACAACAGAAAATGTACAAAGAGGGATTAACTTTTTTTTTCCTTTTTTAAAAATGTCTGATCAATACTCAGTGGATTATTTACACTATTTACGTTTAGCCAGTTGTGCTCTCCAGACTTCATCAAGTGTATATTAATCCAGGTAACCTATACAGAATTCTGAACTCTTTATTTAATCTATGGGGGTAGAATGTTTTTGTTCCACTACCCATGTCTAGGGATACCTTATGTAGCTCTTATTTTTTTTTTTAAATACTGCTCAGTTATTGCTCACCCATTTCCAATTGAAATTGAATTGAAGAACACACTGCCCACACCCAGGGCTTGAACTCATGTGTCACCAAAATCATGAATCAATGCTTTCATACACTAAACTATTGTCTATGGAGAAGTTGGAGCCTTAAACCCTGTCTGTTGACAAGCGCCGTTGCTTGTCATACTGGATTGCACTTTTTGAGGGCCATTTAACGCCCAATACATTTTGGATTATAATTTCTTTTTATTGCAAGTTTTTTTTTTTGGAAAATGATTTTTCAGATACACGGCTGAATATTTAACCCATATCTGGAAATTTCACCCCCCACCAGGCCAAAGGTATTTGTGCATGACAAAAAGATAGGGAGTACTAACCAACAAAATGTCAAAGTTAACAGTTCACTTAACAGGCTTTGTAATATATATATATATATATATATATATATATATATACACAGACAGAATTACCCTTCCATAACGATGCTTAGCAGTCCAGACAAATTTCATTTTTTGGGAAATTGTATAAGATAATCTGTAAAAACTTAGAGCAATTTACAATTTTAGAATTGCCCTGAAAATGACATCTTTTAACAATTAGTCCTGAAACCCTCAATCACAGCAAGTGATCACACTGCATGCATCTTAAAAAAAAAAAAAAAAAAAAAAATCAACCAAATATGTATACCTTTGAAGACAGTACTTTCCAAGATGATATAATAAACATATTGCAAGGAAAATATTCAAGGAATTGTTTGCTTTTACAAGTTAAATTGCCTATTTATTTTTTTTTAAACTTACATTAATAGGTGTTGCATTGGTCGTGCAAGTCCAATAATGTGACATACAAGCAATAGAAATAAATACTTACTTTGACTAGACAAGAGTTAGTGACCACTTGTTTTGGATCAACCACATCTACCAAAGGTTCTGCAATGGCCACATCTCTAATTACACTCATGTCAAAGCCGTAGACATTCTCCCACCCTGAAATTTGAAAAAATAGCAAACCTCAAACTTAATTGGTACAGAAACATTTATACACAGGCCATGAAGAAAAAAAAAAAAAAAAAAAACACACACTTTGTATTCCCTTCACTTCCTGAGCCGTCACTATCAAGTAATTGAGCATTAATTTAAACTAAACAAAACAAAAGCAACTGAGAAAGTCAGGAGTTACTTTTGAACTGATTTACCAAAATTCATAAAATGGCGAACTTCAAAGAAGAGGAATATTTATTTTTAAGTTTTAGCAATCTGCATTATGAATATTACATCCATTTCCAATGCATTTTTTCAAAGCCTCTATTGCAGTATCCTTATTGTTAATTTCACTCAACATTGCTTTGTATTGTCATAGCAGGATATGACAACACAACTATAAAATTCAAATACACTATTGTTCAGGGATAAGAGTCACCTTCAGTGGAAGGATACATTTTTTTTTGTACAGCAAATTAGTGACAAAGGTTAAAATACATAAATTAATCTTTAATTTATACAAGACAGACTTCTCATACATAATGATTTTTTTTTTTTCTTTCTTTAATCAAATTTACTAAAGTCTGAAAAAGATATGAAGGAAGGACAGGATTTACTTTCATAGCAATAGAAAAATTATCATCTTTGGCTGAACATTTAAAACCCTGGAAGTTTTTAAAATGTTTAATTCATAAAAATCATTGAACTAAAATTAGGAGATATTTCAATTTCCGGTCCACTATTACATTTACTCCAGAACTGCTATACACACATGAATGTGAAGAGGAGGAGGCTTAGCAATGTAGTAACAATGTAATGTTTCCATAACATCAATTCATTTTCCTAATCTAAACATACTATATTTGGGCAACAATCCCTTAAACATAATAACTAGTAAAGCTTAGTTTTTACATTGAATTTAGCCACTATTTCAGGTAGAAGCTTGGAAAGAAACTTGTCAAAGGTTAAGATCTGAGAACTTTTCACCATCATTAGTAGTTTTCAAGGAAAAGTTCAGAAGTACCCAGTATGGCATTTACATTGTTGAAAGTTTGAAACTTAACATTACAAATAAAGTATATATTTTAAACAACTTACTTGCGTGTATTTATGTAAATACATATTCAAATGTTAAATTTAGAAAAGCTTGAAAACATTCTTAAGTAACACATTTTCTATTCATAAGTGCTAAGTGTCACACTAGTATTTACACAAGGTATTTGAATAATAATAATAGAAGTTGGTGAGAGTTATGTGCAATGTGGTGTCTTCAAAAGAAGGTAATCTTTTGTTGAATCAATTCAAATCTCCCTTCTAAACACTTCTTCCATAAGTATGGACATGTGCTAAGTCTGATTAAATGTGAAAAGCCAGCTTCTCAAAACAAGCACACATTTGCATTTTATAGAATCAATTGCATTTTGAATCTTTTTCTAAGTTATCTAAGCCAATACTGAAAAAAAAAAAAAAAAAAAAAAAAACAAACAAATTGAAGACTTAAGTTTTATGAACATTAGCTATTGCAAAATTTTTAATGTTTTAAGGTGATTTTTTTGTTCTTATTTGAAGTGACTGGTATGCAATGCCAGAGAAAATTGTGTTGCCTTATGCAAGAGAAAATTCACTGGCGTCTTAATGATGGAGGGAAGAAAAAAAAAAAAAAAAAAAAAAAAAAAACATTGAGTTTTCTGGCTTAATTCACACAAAATGAAGAATGTGAAAAATACCTAATGATTTTGTAGAAAAGACTTGTCAATTGAAGAAATAAAAGGGAAGCATTTAAAAAAAAAAAAAAAATACAGTCCACATCTTCATTTAATAGAAGTTGAACTGTAATTTCTCACATGTTTACACAATAATAACATGTACATTATACAACTATATTAGACAAATAATTGGGTAATTGAACAACGGTGTGTGTGTGTGTGCACGCGCGTGCGTAAGGGGATACCAACCCAGTGTTTTGTCATTCAAAAGGTCTTCAGACTAATAAAGTTTTTATGAGAGGTTGGGTGGAATACAACAAATACCAGCTATAATTCCTAATTAAGACAAGAGTTTTAAATTTTTGGTGGCTGATACAAGATGAAAGAAATAGAAAGCTGAACAAAGCCAGCCAGCTTATGCCTCTAGATGCATTAGATGGCAAAGAATAAGCAAGTCTGTTTTTCAGCAGTTTCAGATGTAGGATTGTAATTGGCATTTGTTGTAGTTCACCCTCCTTCACCACACGCATGTGTGTGTGTGTGTGTGTGTGTGTGTGTGTGTGTGTGTGTGTGTGTGTGTTCTCTCGTTTATTAGCCTAAAGACCTCTTGAAGTATGGAATGTGTTGTATAGGAGCCAATCACCCCCACCCACTGTGAGAGATTACAAAAAAAAAAAAAAAAAGTCATTTTGTGGAATATTAATTGGAAATGGAAACCAAACAGTATACCTGACTCTTAAAAGTTAGAGAGTTAATGGAAAAGTAAAGCAAAAAAGCTTATTACAGAAGATGACTTTTTTTTTTTTTTTTTTTTAAAGTATTTGTACAGAACAATAATCTTATACTACTTCTATTTCTTGGATGAGAGATCATTCTCAATGTTAGGGCTTAAGAACAATAAAATAATAATGAACCAAAAAGAAAAAAAATAAAAAAAATAAGGAAATTATAGAGAGAAAGAAGCAAAGGAAATGAAAGATCAAAAAAAGTTGATGTAAAAATTAAAAAGAAAGAAAAATTTTCTAATTCACAGATAACCATATGGCTCCTCTACATCTGCTTATATTTCTGAGAAGAAATTTCTGAGTATTGTAACTGCTTAAATAGTTCAAAGTGTTATCCTCATTTTTATTGCCATAATCAATATTTCAGCTACTGCACACTTTGGACCCCTTCAGCTGATATATATTGGAATTTCTAAATGAACCCTTTTAGCCCACAGGGGTAGATTGGATATCTCAATTTCAGTGAATTCACTTTAGTAACTCAACTTTCCAGTTTTTGTCTCCTCTGCTGTGGCCAAGGATTGAACTCACAACTCATTGGGTCAAGTCACTTTTTGGATTACTCAACCAATGCTTTTATCCGGAGTTGTGAGATCATTACCTGGCCACAGCAGAAATAACAAAAATGAAGTCGAGTTAATGTGAATTAACCAAAACCGTGATTAGAAGAAATGAATATACACAAAGAGGAGGACAATAGTCTGAACAATGTAAATATGTTATTCAGTTAAAAAAAAAAAAAAAAAAAAAAAAAATAAATACAGTTATCTGCCCCACCCAAAAAAAGCATGAAAAAGTCAAGCAAAATACAAATAAAAATCTGAAACTAGCAATCTGAAAAAACAGGGAATTAAGATGAAGGGTTGGAGAGAAGAGAAATGAAAATTAAAATCCTTTATAATTATACTGAAGAAAAAAAATAATTTTTTTTTTGTCACAACTAAAAGAAACATTGAAAACAAAAAACAAAACTCACAATTTATCTTTTCATCCTTGTACTGTCTATCTTCTATAGCACAGATATAGAGTGTAGCCCGATCAGGGAATATCAGGCCTCCTGGTTTCTGATTAGGAATAAATAAAATGATTATGAACACTTCATAATGACAACAGATCTGTGGAGAATGGATACAAGACATTAGCCCTGTTGGAATGTTCAACAGCCAATTTTCAAAACAAATATTGGTCAATGAAAAATTTTCTTTAATGTATAGGCAATGTGCAAAATTCAAAATTTGCTTTTCATATTAAAATAACTTTTAGTCAATAGCTCACCCAATTTATTCATATTTTTCTAACTTAGCAGGTTCAGATTTGGTATAAACATTTTCAAAGGAATTCTCTAAAACTAAAAGTTTGGATGTAACTTATGTAAAAGTTAAACTCAGATGTTAAGATCAAATTCAATCCTGTTTAAAATTATAAATTCTCTCAAAACTATCACAACAGAATATTACTACTTTCAATACAGGGTGAGGACATAATTGAAAACAAAATTATTCCAAATTAACATTCATGATTAATTATTATATAAAGAAACCCTTTGAAATTTCTTACAGCAATGTAATATAAATAAAGGCTTGACTGGGAGCTAATATGTTTTGGTAGCACAAAGAGAGCATGAGGCAAATTTTGTCAACAAATAGAAGGCTTTCACATGATTGATTTAAGTAAAATATTGCCCAAATAGTATATGAGAACACATTTCAGAAAATAACATGATTAATACAATATATTTAAACACCACAATGCCTGAGAAAAGGTGAATGCCCTCCTCCACTGACACCAATATCTGAAGAACTTAAGTTCAGGGTATCACCAAACATGTACATATCAAGCACAAGAAACAAGAATTTTTCTGCAAAAGATTGGGAGTGTGTCTACTTGAAATAATTTGAGTTAAAAAAAATTAAAAAAATAAAAAAATAAAAAAAAATTTTTTTTTTTTTTTGACCAGTTACATTACACTCAAACCAGTACTGTAAATATCAGTTCTCAAAGTATCACTGTTTGTGACTTCTTGTGATGATGCCAACACATGTCACAGCAGAGTGAGTGTTTGGAGAAAGAACACTCCCCACCATTAATCAGCTTCCTACTTTTAAATCTAACCTAAAAAGAATATTAAGACATCAATATGAATTAATTTATGAGGGAAAAAAAAAAATAAAAAAAACAAAAAATAAATAAATAATACTTACCAACCACTTATCTCTTGCATAAAGCACAGTTTTCAGCATGGATTCATAGAATAAGCAGTAACCCATCCATTCACTGATGATAATGTCAACTTTTTCAATGCCATCTGGCAATTCAACCTCTTCAACTTTGCCACGGACAAGTGTGATAACTGTACAAAAGGATTAGGAAAAATTTTTTTATATTGGTGTCAATACAAAAAAGAAGAGGGGGAAAAAAAAAAAAAAAAAAAGAAAAGAGTAATGATTTTCTTTTCAAAACATTTTCCAGGTGATGACGTGAACAAATAGTGTGGAAGGGGGGGGACAGTCGTCCAGAAACATTTTATTGTGGGATTTAGTTTCCTAGACAATCTTTAAAACAATCACAGCAGCAATTCTCAATCTTTTGGTCAACATTCTTTTCATCCTATTTCAAAATAGGACCCCAGAATGTCAAATATTATACTGTAGAAAGATTTTTAACTAGTTTAAATTTACCACTCTCTGACCCCAGTTCAGCACTGAAACCCACAAATATTGAGAAACCTGGGAGCAGAGATTTGAGAAATAAGTTAAGAACATAACCAGAATTAATAACTGTAGCAAAATGTAATTATATCAAAATTATTTATTTCTTTAGGGGGAAAAATAAATCATGACAGAAAAGTGTAAAGTTACTTTGAGAAGAAAACCTAAACATTTAGAATTATCATCAATTTATGCCACAAAGACCAAATAAAAATATGGTAAGTTAAACTATACTTGCCATTATCCATGTGATTGTTTTCAATGATTTTCTGTCCATAGTCAATGATACTGGAACATTCAATCTGAAATGTCAAGATAATTATTTAAAGTAAATTTTGGAAGAGATTAAACAATAACTTCAATGAACAGTTTACAAGAATTAAAAATAACGTGAGAGGGATAGAAAGAAAAAAAATCAGTGGGGGAGGAAAAGGAAAAAAAAGACTTGACAATGAAAGATTTTATTTGTATTCCAAATAACTGTACAGGTGGCACAATAGTCATTGGCACAGAAAGTGGCATTAATGAGTCAAATTCAAACCCCGACTCCTGGACATACCATATACCAGGTCAACCTGTGACAAAAGCCCTCAAGTTTTCTGCTATGTCTCACAAATCCAGCTTAATATCCAATTCTTCCCACATTAAGGATGTAATGTTGCATTCACTTTTAGAGTAATGCCCTGGAAAAGGACATGACCTCTTCTTTATCCCAAACAATGGGCGAAATAGAGTAGACTGGGCTTGTCTTGGGTGGCATAGTGAAGACAACGGAGGACCACTCTGGTATCTTCCTTAAGAATAAGTCCCTTAATAATGAAAAGATAAAACTAGTAGAATATACATCCATGAGAGAAAGATTCCTTATCAATGTCTTTGGCTTTCTACTTTGAAGGTTGATATGGATGTAATTTAGGCAGTAGTTTGAAGGGTAGGGACTTTTTTTCCCCCTCCATATTTCAAGCCTGATTATCAGGCCCATAAAGTTACTTCAAAGCCATGCTTTTGAGGAAAATTGAAAACTGGACAAAGACAAAGCAAATTATTAATCCAGTCAAATTTAGAGATTTAAAAAAAGAAAAAGAAAAAAAAAGTAGTAGACAATATTTCATCCCATCTTTACAAATAAACAAACTATCATACTAACCCCGATAACTTTACTGGCTCCGGCTTTGGCAGCAAACATACTCAGGATTCCAGTTCCACACCCAACATCAAGCACCACTTTCCCTTTAAACAAATGTTTGTTGTGATACATGGAGTTGCGGTATGTCAGTGTACGTACTTCATCCTTTAACATTTCCTGAAAAACAGACATTTTACAGTCAAATACAATTGAACAATAAATGATAAGTACATGGGGGAGGGTGAAGTCTACCAAAATTCTGAACTTTCCAGCACTTCTCTGAAATGTATATACATATGCATTATAACACAGAAATCGCATGTTTTGCTGTTTAATTTTATAAATGACTTGTTTAGACAGCTGAAGTATAAACAACCAAGAATGATGAAACCATTCATGGCAACTCAACTCATTCTGATTATAAAATTTGAGAGACAGAAAAAAGTTTTGCTACTCTGAAAAAGCATCAGATTTTTTTTTTATCCCGTAGAATTAAAAAAAAAAAAAAAAAAAAAAAAAATTTTTTTAACAAGTTGCAGTAAATGTATTCACTTTAATCCTCAAACTCAGCCAGACAATAAGCACTACAAGCTTGAATAATCTTTTATTCCAGACATTTATATTCTGTAAATTCAAAATATATAATTCATGACACTTTCTTTTCCTATTATCAAAACTCTAAAATATCCTATTAAACTAATTTGAAAGAGAGCCTTCTTAAGGATAAGTGTAAGTTGAGGCCTCAACAGAGGCCATTCTTTATTACTAGCCACGGAATGCTAGCCTCGGAAAGATTATAACAAATGGCAACAGAAATTAAAGAAATTTAAGAAATTTGGTTAGTTTAAAAACTTGCATGTGTATCATTATTTGTTATATACTAACTCAAAAGGGACCCTGGTAACTTAATGCCTTCTTTCTGCATGCAAGGAAAAAAAAAAAAAAAAAAAAAAATGGGAAGGAAAACTTGAACTAAATCATCCCTAATGTTTTTGTACCTAAAATGACCAAAATATACAAGTGAAAAGTGGCCAAGAATAATATAATCAGAGTAGAGATGGGTGGTTTAACCGAGAAAAAAAAAAAAAAGTATATTCAGCTGTTCAAAGCAAAATACCATTTTAGCTCACTGTAAAAAAAATAATTTAATGAGTAAAAACACATACAAATTACATATTTAGAAAGATTTTATTTTCTTTCCAGCCATGTGAATATTTTTAAGATTGGACCAGAAATACATGAGAATTTGCAAGTCGAACAGGCTAAGCTGCAAATTTATCAATCTCAAGCAAAATCAAGATATTGGCTGGAAATGCTATTCTTACACAAGAAAATTAATGGCTCCCTTAGAAAGCAAAAATACTAATTTCCAAATCCAAAAACCGAATCAAAAACCGTGGCATAAATGGAAAAAAGAAAAAAGAAAAAAAAAAAAAGGAAACTGATACCAAAACAAATTGCCAAATCAACCAAGTCTAACTCAGAGGAGGGGAGGAAAAAAAAAAAAAAAAAAAAAAAAAAACAAACAAACAAAAAAACACTTTTCCATTGTCAGGTTGGACATTATCATAATTGGATAACCAAATAAAGATGAAATTACAATCAGCCTTTCAATATTAATCAGGAAATTAATTTTGCAGAGAAATGTTTAATTTGTACAAATAAAAAGCATGGTAATCATTTTCCGTTTACAGAATCATGTTATACATAAGAAAAAAAAAAAAAAAAAAAAAAAAAAAAAAAGGCAGCATCTATTATCTATACAAATTTTTAACATTAAATTCATTTTTGAAAGGAAACTGTGCCGCTGAGAACATAGCATCCAATTCCTGCTGTCAATCACTTTTCCCAAAGAGCCTTTTAACAAAATCCAGTACAGAAAATGTAAACCATATTGGCTATAAAAAAAAAAAAAAAAAAAAAAAAAAAAAAAAGTAGACAAAAACCATAACACTGAGAAACCAAACCTTGTTCAACCAACCAGAGAAAAGTCATTCATCTTTGGTAGAATTCAATTCAAGTATTATGCATATTAGGTAAATGTTAAATATTACAATTCAATGAATAAGAAACAAAGTGTCAGAATCCTTGAACTATTACTGATGATGTTGTCCATCCCACAAGTGGCCTCTTTATCATAACTTGTATTTGAATAGGTGCTCAGTTTTTATATTAAACAGTGTATTTTTTTTTTTACTTACTGGCCATTGTTTCCCGGGTAAGTTCCAACTTAAAATTGAGAAATCTTTTTTAAATAAAAACTTGCACTTTTCAGCAAGAATTGAGTCACCGTTTAGACAAGTGCACCTATACCACTTTGGCCATGAAGAGACAGACAAAACCAAATTTATGCCTTCAAGCAAAATGTTTGTCAATGATCTTAGATTTTCATATCTGCAAGGAGTTTCATATCCAAATATAAACAAAGAGAATTTCTCAGAATCAATTTTTATTAATCCAACAGACTTCTATCATCACTTTAAATGGTGGCTCTCCCTACCCCCGGGGGTTGCAGATTCGATTCCTGCTGAAGTATGCAAGTTTTTATTGACAGATTCTGATGGATAAAGTTTTATTAATAAAAAAAAAAAAAAAAGGTCACTATTTTGGTGCATGCAGGCCTGAAAGTTAAGATTTATAGGAGTGGACACCATTACCTCAAGTGATGAAAAATCTATATATCAATACAACACACAAATGAATCCTGTCAGCCAAAGCAGCTGCCACTGTAGCCATCCTCAAGCAAAAGTTGCATTTAGAAGGCTATGTTTCATTGATAGTGAATAGAAAGCATTTAATAGGAAATGCTTGATCTAAACAAGATGGTCACTCAAAGTGCACTGTATGCAGTGGGAGGGAGAGGGAGGTTTAAATATCTGCTAAAGAGAGAAAAGAACAAAACTGAATAGTGGCATGACATTAAATTTCACATTGCAATGAGGACATGTGAATAGCCGTTACATTTTGGTTGGAAAATTGTTGCCACAACTTCCTTATCCAGCAGCTTTCAGTTGCTGCTTTTTCTGCTCCCTTACAGAACCCCATGAATGATCAGAGTTTCTGAACTGAGATCAAAGGAATATGGATTTTGGTAGAACAATGAGGTGAACTCCAACAGAAAGAAGCAGACCAAGGAAGTCGGGATACCCAAAGACCTATTGAGAGTTGGAACTGATTTGGGAAACATTGTTGATTAAGTTGTTGCAGAGGAGGATTTAATTTAACATTTAAATTTTGAGTATGTTTAGAAACATTCTTACCAACGCAATATTCTATACCTCTTATAATAATAATAATGTAAATCATCCTCCAACCTCCCTGTGGTTGGCCGGAACAACTTTTCACACTGCTTGGTCCTGCATTGCCATCCCTAGATCCCCAGTGTCCAACACCGAGTCCCAAGCCATGATGTCTGGGAAAGCCAACTTTCCTGAGAAGACATTTCAGAAAGGACACCATAGAAGTAAGGATAAGACAACCTCCCCATCTACTCAGTGGCAGGCTAAGTGCAATTGCTTTTTTTTAAGAAATGTTTTAATGAAAAGCCCACTTCAATGTCAATTTTCAATGGATTAATCTGCAAAATCATGATCATTTTCACAGCTATATACTGCATACACTAGGGTATGTTGACTTCATGTATAATGTGACCCCTGAAATTTGCATGAAATTTAACTGCTTCAACTGCCCCCCACCCATGAAATAAAAAAAAAATTTATTCAATTCAATCAACCCCTATGCCATTCTATCAAACGTTTTCTTGTATAAACAAAGGAATGAGTGCCCAGGTTTTGTCTTCCCCACAAAAAAAAAAAAAAAAAAAAAAAAAAAAAACCCAGGCTGTGTTTCAAGCTTGTTGATGAGGGTATGCAAATTTTAATCTGACCAATTGTGGATGTCTTGGGTGTCTAGATTTTAGAGCTAGGGATATATATCTGAACTGTATTTTTCTTTTAGTGTGTGCAGATGTTAGTTGACCCCTGTGCAGAAGAAATCCACTTACCTTCAAAAAGGTTGAAAGTGTGCGTCTGCCAATGCCTTTAGGTCCATGCTACAAATAAAAACCGGGGCAAACTCATTCCATCGTTTATAAAAGAAAACATTTGATGGAATAGCCCGTTTGATGTGCTACCTAAGGGGTTGATGGAATAACCCAGATGTGCTGTTTACAGATTAGCATATCTACCAAATGCATATATAGTGATAGTGAACAAGAGGATAGAAGCTGCTGACAAGGTGAACAAATGGATTTGTGGCTATTTGCACTTACGGTTGTGTGTTTGTTACAGTTTGCTACAATAATGAAATTAATACAAACCAACCCACCCAGATTGAGTATTAAGCAAAATTGCACCTGTATCCCCATTTTCTATAAGAGACCACTCCTATACCCAAAGCATGGTGTTCCAATTTCACCATGGGAAGCCATATATGTATGTAAGTACATACATACATATCTCTGCAGCTTAAGGGGATATAAGAGGTGAGAGAGACAACAAGGAAGAGCACTTATTTCAAACAGTTTACAACATAAGTACATTGACAAAAAAGGTGATTAACACAGTAGTAAATCCCAAAATATGTCATTTTGATCAAGATGCTTGATCTCAACTTTGTAGAGGAAGAAAAAAAAATCCCATGACTTAATTCCTATCTGGTCTTCTAAAATTCTCCCTTCCCAATAGACAATTAAATAAGCAGAAATGATGAAAATTAAACTTACTTCATGGATGCCAAAGTGAGCATATGAATCAAAGTAATAATCCTTTGATGTCATCTCATCAACCTGAGCAGGTGTTCCATTGCTGCTGGAAGCTGAATTTTGCAAATATGAAAGACAATCATCAGGCACCTGGAGGGGGAGAAGAAAAATAAATAAAATTAAACAATTCTTGAATGATTGGTAATGTGGGCTTGTATGGCAACATTCTGATACAATCAAAATCTGTTATTTAAAAAAAAAAAAAAAATTCTATTAATCTTTAAAATATTTCCATTCTCGGCTTTTACTTTTTTGTTAAATTTATTTACAATACCCGACATGCTATTGAATTTTTTTTTTTATTGAAGTATAAAAAAAAAAAAAAAAAAAAAAAATTCTATGGCTATTAAGTTTGTAGAACCTACTATAAGAAAAATATGTATAGGGACTAATACAAGAGAGTATGAAGATTTTCAATAATATATGCATATTATTTGGAATGCAATTTTGAGTGACAATCTTGGAAAAGTAGATAGAATGACATGCCATGGTGAAAAGAGTGAATTGAGCAACAACAAAAAAAAAACAAAAAAACACTAGTTTTAAAGAAACTTTATAGATCTTTTTCATATTCTCATCAAAAATATCTAAAGAAAATAAACAAAGTGGACCAAAAATAGTTACTTTTCTCATTCATATCCAACAGTCTATAAACTGAGAATGTAACTAGCTTCAATTCACAATTGTCCTTCCACAATACTGAGGAATTTAATGTTTCCACAAATTTCCATAATGAAATCAATTTACAGTGTATACATTTAGATCTAAAAATGTCCTCTCACAATACACATCTATCCTGATTTTTTTTTGTAACTCAAGAGGTATTTTAAAACCAACAGTGCAACCAGAGTTGCTATACACTTCCACTGGTAAATGTGTCTGTGCTATGAACTATATCAAGGAAATTATGGACCATACTACGTAATTAATAGCCTGTCATCAATTCCAGAATTCCTACAAGATCAGTTAACGTAAATGCAGTGCTGCAATATACAGGTTTTTCAGGTCATTTGAGAACTTTATGCATATACAATTACTCAAAGGATGGAATGTAAAAGTTAAAATGCATGTTAAATTTGAGACATAATAAAAATGGCCACCAAGACTTGAGAAGTTTCACTGTAGAAATGTAATCATGACCTGTTGCTAGCATCAGGCAAAAAAAAAAAAAAGCTCAATACCTGTAGTTGGATAATTTAGTAAAAATCTTCTGCACGATACAGTCATTGAAATGACTACAGGCAAAGAAGATTTATCTCCTTATAAAATCAAATTCCAAGCCTACACAAGGTTTATAGAGTTTTGCCACTTTAATAATCATTTGATTAGCTAAGTCAGAGGAAAAACATTTGTGATAAAAGAAAAAAAAAACAAAAAACAAAACAAAAAAAAAAGTATGAAAATTTTTTTTTTTTTTACTACTGATCCTACCAGCATAAAATAAATATGCTGACATAAGAAATGGACTATGCATGAGTAGAATTGAATGATTGCAACCAGTAGTCCCCATGCTCCAGAATTCTTGTTAGAGGAATATTCTTTATTGCCAATCCATGTTGCTAACAACCATAGAATTAAAGAGTTGGGAGAGAAGCTAACTGGAAAAATACGAAAGTATTACATTGTAAAATTGATAACATCTCATCTTTAAGATTAAACATACTATTACTAATAGAGACACCAAACAAAGAGATTCATTTAATTTTAGCATTAATGAGTGATGCAGTAAATAATATATAGGTTACGGCAAACAAGGGGGGGTACATTTGCCTTATATAGAAATATATACATCTGTACTTTCAGTTTTCTTAAAGAATTGCTCATTTTCCATAACTGATTAATGACTACAGTGAATTCATTAACAAAAGTCCATAGGGAGATATCAGTTGTGATTGGATGATAATGAACAGATATTAAGCAAATAATATAAAAATTGGGCCCAATTTACAAATTCATTTTTATAAGCATATAAAACATCTGGAATTTAATATGCCACTAAGTTTTACTTCATTTTAAATAAAAAGCCTGGGACAAACTGATTGTGATAACAATAACTGTTTGAATCAATCAAGGATTGTGATGACTTCCATTATAATCTAAAGAAAAAAAAAAAAAAAAAAAAAAAAGTTCCTGTAAAAATTCATTATTCACCAAAATTCTTTTCTACAGACTATAATGAACTTAATATATATTATTTATAAAATCAAAAGCTTATCTAATTAAATAATTAAAAAGTTTTGTAGTTTTTATTTTATGATTTCCAGCAGTTTTACTGGAAAACAGTAAGTTTGAAGAGAGAGAGAAGAAAAAAGAAAATTGATAATTTACATTCTCCAAAGGGGTCCTGCTTTTAACAAACAAATACATTTTGGTGTATGAAATTTAATTTGTAGAAATTTCATGAAGTTTATTTTATTTTTTGAGGGGTGTGGTAACAGTTGTATAAATAAAAGATTTTCTAAAAATAAATGCATTTGTCAATAAGTCCTGAAAATTTCATTAAAATCCAACAATTATCTGATTTTTGCAAGACTTCCCAAATTAATGTATTATTTTACCCAAAGACAGGTATGGAAGTTTCAGAAAAGCATTTTATTTTTGGAAGAATTTTTTTTTTTAGTGTTGACAGTTTTGTCATATAAATCATCAATTTTCCTTGTAAATCAGTGTGCAATATTACCCAAACTTTTAGCTCAATTGTAAAAATACAAAACCCAATAATAAATAATAAGGCATTATTTAATTTAAAAAGCTTTTAATGGCTTTTCTCAATATATATATATATATATATATATATATATATATATATATATGAAGTCAAAATATTTCCTCGAAAAATGAATTTTTACAAGAATTGTTTACTTTTTAATTTTAAATGCAAGTGATAAAGTTGTTAAATATTCTAAAATTAAGTTTGTTACTGCAAGTCAATGGAAAAACTTATTTACTTTTTACAGATCGTACATTTGAAAGCTCATTAAAATCTCTTATGCGAGTATGTTTTTACAATAATTTTTTAATATTTCAAAAATGTATTAAAAATAGCCTCCAACAAAAATACGGATGCACAAAGCTGAAATGTCACATGTGCTGGAGTTGTTTCTTCTTATAGCAAAAATCCGGCACCATAAATTGCATTGATTTCGTATCAAATTCTGTGGCTGACCATCACCATCATGTTTTCAGTTTTTTTCGTTAAAAAACAAAATTCAATAAATATTATTTTATCATACTTTAATATAATTTTTTTTTCTTTTCCACTGAGAGACAGTGCAATTATTAATTTTTGTTTTTTAGATTCAATTTTAGGAGCAGAAACAAGTGCAGGCTTTGGACATATCTTTGTTTAAAAAACAAAAAAAAAAAAAAAAAAAAAAAAAACACAGTATTTAATTTTTAATTACTTTATATTTAAATAAGCTGGTCAAATTTGCTAATTAAAAAAAAATGTAACGAAAATTTTGGACGTTCTAGGGATGATTTAAAAAATACTTTGATCTTTCCTCTTGGTAATAACCATTTAGGCAGTAAAAAATTATTTTTTATCAAGTTTTAAGGCCTTCTTTATTCATGCTATGCTATTTTTTTATCGATCTCAAAGAAACATACCTACTTAAAAAAAAATAAAAGTGGACGGGCTGATCACTTATGAAAACGTTTCAGGCACGCCGCTAACGAACAGATTTTAAAAAAGCTCTGCTAAAATGTCTTGAAACTACATAAAAAAACTAATAGTTATTTTCTTTAAAAATGATATTTGATATCTTGTCTGCTCTTAAGAGCACCAACTTGGCAAGTTTTAAATTCCCTGAACTAGAATAGGTGCGTAAAAAATCCTGACAAAAATTGAAATCAGATCTAGCCAGCAACCGACAGAAAGAGAAAGATACACGTGCTTGGCTTGGGGGAGCCAAATCAGCAAGAAACAATCTTTCTACGATTCTCTTTGAAAATAAGAAAAATACAATTTCGTAGTAAGTTTTATAATTTTTTTTAAAGAAAAGATGTCTCTTGATTTTACGACTTAAAAAAAAAAAAAAAAAAAAAAAAAAAACTAAGTGTGCATTATTACATTTTTATAAATTAAATTCAAATACAAGGTTTTTTTTGGGTTTTTTTTTTAATTACATGGACAAAGAATTATCGTAAGAATTTCATTTTAACGAAGATAAATCGACTATGTGCAACATTTTTTAGGAAGTGGAGGGGAAAAGGCAATGGGACGGAACGTAGTTTTAAAACATCGTTGCCCGTTGAGTTTTTCTAAGCCGCTCAAAAAAAAAAAAAAAAGAAAAAAGTGACAAGCCCTTATATACAGTACTGCAGTCTACACAATTTTATAATGCATCCTCAACATCGCACAAATAGTTTTCATTAGCACAAACTGAAAACTGGCAGAATTAAGAACGATTTTTATGAAGGTAACATTTTAAAACTAGGCGTATTCTTGATGCGATCGCCTTTTTGACTTCAGTACAGTACAAAACAAGTTACGCCTAAAAAAGATTCGCTTTTTAAACTTTGTATACGGAAGTGAAGAAAAAAAAATCTGTTTATATTCCTACAGTATTTTTTTATCGATTCAACATCTCCATGGGACGTATTTTTATGGGTATTCAGGTTACAAGATATATCAATATATCCATTTTATTTTATGGCTACAATACAATTTGCCTCATATCACATGTGACATTTCAAATAGGAGTTGCGGGAAAAGGCCTTTCGTCTTCACGAGATAAAAAAAAAAGAAAAAAAAAAAAAAGGGTACAATAGTCTCGAATGCAATTTAAAGAAATTAGAGCTTTTTAAATATAAAAAGAGAGATTAAACATTTTTTAGGACAATTAAAATACCGATGATTAAAAAAACAAAAAAAAACAAAAAACACACGAATGAAAAAAAAAATAAAAAATTGAATTTTGTAAAATTGGCAATTTTTCAAAATGTAAAATATCGGAAGATAAAGACTAAAAAAAAACTAGTAAAAAGAGTTTATTTTACGTACTTAAAAAAAAAAAAAAAAAAAATACAATTTATGCAAAAAGAAAAGACGGGGCGATCAAAAAATAATTCGCTCCATCAGCAAACAATTACACACACTCATTCATTAATGCAAGATTAAATTATTTATCACCAAAGATTGGGTAAATATTCAAATTCAAACGCGCAGAAAAAGGTTTTAAAAAAAGTCTTTAAAAAAAACAAAGTTTAAAAAATACATTTTTTTCTAATTGTTTTTAAGCAATTTTTATTCTTTAAGAGAATTGAGTTTTAAATTGTTCAGTCAGGTAATATAGATTCATTACATTTTTTTTATTTTTACACAGCAAAAATAAAAATGATTTTTTGCCGATAAATTTGAAATCATCTATTTACAGAATTTAATAAAATAAACGGTTAAAAAAATTGATAAGTGGAAGTATGTGGGCGATATTTAAGAAGAGAAAAAAAAAAGATACAGAATTAAGTTCGTCGATGCATCAAATTTCAGTTGAAGGGGGGGGGGGAACACGTGTGTCGTTTCTGGTTTCAATCAATTCATAGATATTTTTTAAGGTTGCAGGACAAGAGGCATTTTTTTTTCTTTTAAAACTTAGTTTAATGTAACATTTTAAATTTATTTAGAGAAGAAAAGAATTAAAACATGTTTAGGATGCAAAAATCAAGATTAACATGGCGCGTTTTTTTTTTTTTTTTCTTTTTGGTGCATTCTCCAGAGATCAATAACTTTCTAAAAAGCGACAACGTTAAATGCATATTCTGTGTAGTTCTTTTTTGGCAACTTATTGAAAATTATATGTGGATATCTTAAGTAAATGATTTCAGTTCACTTTCACATTATTTACGTGATATTCTTCTGATAAAAAAGAAGAAAATTACATTCTTTCTTTACGATGTAAAAACTAAGTCAATAGCTAAAAAAATGTAAACGGAAAAAAAAAAAAAAGAAACAGGATGGGAAGATTAGTTTCAAAATTGGCTAAGATTTTCACTTACTTGTCGAGCCATCTTTATAAGTAGATATATGAGAAAGAAATCACGTGTGCAGTTTTATTTTCTCTCTTCTTTTTTTGTCATCAAAACCTGAAACGTCTGTTTGCCGCTTTTTTTTCTTTTCTTTTACGAAGTCTTCGTACTTTTTACACCCATGTCTGTCGATGTCTTCGTTACCATTTGACCGCCACAGATTTTCTAATTTTGCTTTAACGTTGTGCAACCATCACATCGACACGAATTACCCAGCAGTAAAACAAAATGAAGACTTATTTCTAACAATATAAAGTAGATTTTAAACCCAAAAGAGCACTTTTTATATTTTAAAACGAAGCCGCAGATTATCGAGGGAAAGATGGCCCTGGTTAAGCAAGCATCTTCCTCTTTCTGTACGAAGCGGATAAATTTCAAATACAGTAACGATAAGTGAACAGTAGGAAAATCCTTAAAAACATATAAAAGTAAAGAGCGGAGTGAAAAATAAAAATGCTTTAAATAAACGACAAGACAAAGGAAAATTATCAACTCACCTCCATTATGTCGGCCATCTTGATATGAAGAGAAAAACTATCACGTGTTTGTGTTGTACGTCACCGGAAACTGAGAAAAACGTCATTGAAAATTGCATCTATGGTTGTGGTCCAGTGGTAAAGCTTCTGCTGCACTGATGTAATTTCTAAACACAAAATGAGCAAGCATTTTGAACCAGAAAAAAAAACATTTTATCACAATCAGTTTTGTAATTGCAAAATTTGTGATATTCCTCACTAACTCTACATAAAGAGATTTAAAAAAATTTTTTTGACTTCTAAAAACAAATTTTTTTTTTCGACATGGAAACCGATCATTAGCATTGTTTTCCTCCACTTTAACCTAATTTTAAAAATATGTATTTTTGGAAAAAAACTGTTCGCAAATATTAGTTACGAAGCTCATATATAATTCTGTAATATGATAAGCTAAAATTTAAAAAAATAATTTAATAAAAATAAAATATTGATGTTTTAAATAAATTCCTAGCTAATTTGATATTTTAACTCCCACTTTGATGCTACAGCACACTGCAAGGTTTTCCAGCTCTTAATTTATTTATTTATTTATCAATTTACCCCAAGCAAGGCAATAATGTCACCAAGATGACAGGGGCTACTGGGAGCAAGAGAGAATGAAAAAGACCTTAGGATCAGGAAGAAATGGATAAACCTCTCCTCCTGTACAGTACAAGGGAACAAAAATTGTCCTGTCCCCTTAGTCATGATTTTAGCATTCCACAGGCAGGGAAGAGCCATGACTTTTTTAAACACCTTTTAGGTCAATAGAGAGGTGTAGTCTTGTAAATTACATTTAATTCTCTATCTTTTCCTAGAAATGACCAAAGATTTTGGTTACAAATGCCAAGGAAACACCCAGATAGATTCTAATATATTTTAATACATCATTGTCCCATAATGTTAAATTTAGTTGGTAAAAAAATGTAATTACTATGGGGCAGAGATAGTATTATTAAAAATTCAAGTATTAATGATATGTTAAATTTCTAATTTATCTATCTATATATAAAAATATTCTGTGACTTCCATTAGTCTGGCCACACCCTTTAAAATACATGGACCGAACGAAACCAAATGCAAACCGGTAAGAGTATATAAAGTACAGTTGGTTTTACTAGAGTGCGTAGCTTAGCACAATAGATTTTCATTCATTTTTTTTTAAAACTAAAAGTCTTATTATTTAACATACAAAATATTTCCACTATTTTAAAAACAATTTAATGATTAAAATAAATACTTATTTAATAAAAATGCAATTGCTTTTTACATATATTTTCTTTAAGTTTTTATATATATTTAATTCTGGTAAAATATAATACACAGTAGTAGAACACTAGTAACACTGTAAATATAAACTTAGTAGGGAGAGTTTCAAATGGGCAGAGGAAGCAATAACTTCAACAATATTAAATACTGTGAGGATTTCAACATGCCTCAGCATATTGCAAAAAAATTCTAGTTTCCTTAAATTTAATTTTTGAAATCTCTGTTGATATCTCTTTTTAAACTAAAATCTTAGAAATCTTGCAACTATTCTGAATGAGACATTATGTAATTTTGCCATTGTACAGAACACAAGACTAAATTGTGTGGGGAAAATGAAATAAAATCAATAAAGCCACTGATCTCCTGTGAGGTGCAAATCTGCACCTGATGGCTATGAAGATACCTTCCAGGTTAACTCTTTGATGCACCTGATTCTTCTGTTGCTCTGGTGTGACACTGAGTGCAAAATCTGGGTATAGGACCACAGCCTCACCACACTGCTTGTTATGGTTTCTGTAGCATATAGTTTTATAATCTTTCTCTAAATGAATAAATAATGAAGATTTAGGAGAATTAGTGAAGGTGGAAAATTGGCACCTCATATCCAGTTGCTTTGGGTATATCAGGATTTCCCAACTTGGTTGATATCGCTCACTTGTGAAGGATTTCAATTATTGGGTGGACAATAATCAACTGAACAGAAAATGATGGGTGATTGGAAATTTTGGTGGGCAAGATTGGATTTTGAATATTAAAAAGAGATTTTAACAAATGTTACCCCAAGAAATATATTCAAAGGCAAAATGCAAAGAATCTATTTTAAAAAAAATACAAAACAAAAAACAAGAGACTAATTGGGAAAAGCTGAGTCAACATCCTAGATAAGATATCATATAGTTATTGGTTTTAGGTTAAGTCAGTTAGCTGTTAATTACAAATGTCAAGTTTGAAAATGTGTTATCATCATTGATATCTTCATATTTTATTTTAATTTCTTGAATTTTTTTTAAGTTCATTTTATAAATCATTTAAAAAAAAATTTTTAAATGATTTTTTTTTTTTTGTGCAGCATGTTTTTTAGAAAAATATACACAAACATTTGAGTTTCATAATTATTTATTTTAAATAAAGAATAAATGGATACATAATTTTATTAATTCATGGATTTTTTTTAATTAAAAATGTATATATTTGTTTGTTACTTAAAAAATGTTTTTACCCTCCCCATCAAGAAAGTCTGTTTTCATCCACGAAGCAGCTAAATCCAATAACTCTGTAAAAGTCATAGATAGATTTGACATTGTATTGACATAACAAACAGGACTCTTCCTAAATCGCTAAAAAAATCAATATTTTTCCATTCTGGCAAGTGTTGCAGCTTAAGAAAGGTCTAAAGAAGAAATTCTCAATCATTGTGCCATGGCACACTAGTTTGCTATACGATCATCTTAAGTGTGCCATGAAATATTGAAGAAATCACAAAAATACACCAGGCACATGTTTCACACTAAATAAGCTGCACAAATAATTGAATAGAAACATTGAAATAAAGTAAGTTCATATTTGTGTGTGCATCTATTTTTAAATCTATGGTTTTATTTCATAACATTTAAATGTCTACACTTTAAAAATGTTGCTAAGTGTACCATGACATTTTCATTTGCTCTTAGGTGGGTCGTTGCTTAAAAAGGTTGAGAAACACTTGTATAAAGAAACCACGATCCCCTTCCTGTGGGTGTGTAAGCATAACATAGTAAAAATGGTTTATTGTAAAGTGATGGTTGTTTAAATGCTCTAAATTGAAGAATTAAGCAACTTAATAAAATTATGTGGTGGTTTACATTCGTGCTTGCCCCAATTATAATGATCTGATTTTTGTGTATTTTTCCCTATTTTTTATGAGTGTCAAATTATATTTTGTGTATTAAGGTGAATTGGAGGTACAACGGGTTAATATGAATTAGAATATTCTCTGACATTTTGCATATTAGACTCTGGCTTCTTTCACCTGTCAAAAGTTGGTTTATTACTGCAGAAGCAACTCACCTGAATGTAAACACATTTCCTCAGGTGTCAGTTTGATGTTTATTTCTGGAGATTCTTTATGTTTAGGGTGTGGAGACACAGGTATGATCCCAAATCCAGATGTAAGTGACTCACAAAAACATCCAAAAAATGAAGACTGTATATTTAGGTTCTGTCTGTCAGTTAAGAATATAGGGTGGGGTTCTGTTTGTTAGAGCAAGGCTCTGTCTGTTACAGTGAGGAAAGAAGAAAATGAGAGAAAAGGGTGGAGAAGAAAGAGAGTGAAATATAGAACGAGAGAGGCCAAGAGACAAAAACAGAGAGAGTAAGTGAGATATACAGGGGGAAAGATGTAGAAAATAAGAATGAATGAGAAAAGAAGAGGAAATGAGCAAGAGAGATAGAGAGGGAGCATGAAAGAGAAGCAACATAATGAAAGAAGAAAGAGAAAGAATGAGAAAATGAATTAGAGAGAAAGAGAGAAGGAAGAAAATAGAAAAGGATAGCAAGTAATCATGAATGACAGAAGGAAGTTAAGATAGAGAAAATTAAAAAGAGAAGGAAGAGAGAAGGGAGATGTTAAATAAGAGCAAAAAATGAATAAAGGTGAGAAGAAAAAGAAAGAAACAAAGAGAATGAGAGAGAGAGACAAAGAAAGATAAAAAAGTAAAAGAGAGAGAGATAGAAAGTGACATAGAAACAGAAGGAGCAAAAGTGTAACAATGAAAAGCAGAGAGAAAATGACAGAAAAAATATTAAGTTCAAAACATATACTCCTCAGCCTTTGGGTTAAGATCAAAGTGTAGTACCTGTCCTCAGCTGGATAGACTACATTTTATCTATCAGTTGTGGCTTTGTCTTCAGGCAGGGCACAACTGAAAATATTATTGAGAAGTGGCCAGTATCAGGAAGGAGCTGCTCACCGCAGTACCTCCCTCATTGCACTAAAGAGTGGGGACAGGTAGTAATATCAATGCCAACATGACCGACAGTTGTGAGGGATGGGCTATTTTTGGAAGTGACACAGGTGCTTGGGCTCCCCACATTAAACTAACTTGTGTCATAACCTGTCAGTGTGCAAATAAATACTAAGTGTAATATCTATCCTCTCTTTCTCTTACAATTATGTGGGATGCTTAATACTGGGGATTCCAACATTTTGGCAGCACCTCCCTCACTGCACTGAATAAGGTTGGTGGATACCAAGACAGTGCTCATGGGGACTGGGCAATGAATTTTTGTCCTTGGCCCACATGTACATGTAGGGGTATCCCACATTACAGATAACCTTGTGTTATATACTGCCATCTTGGTGAGGCGAGTAAATAATGATCAAAGAGTAGTATTGATTTTCATTTCCTCCTTTTAAAATTATTAGAGACGCCTGATCCTGGCAATTCCAACTCTGCAGTAGTAACACCCTCATTGCACTAAGAAGGGAGTTTTGGTGGATACTGACATCAGTATGACAGCGGTCATGGAGACTGAATAATTTTTGCTCAAGGCCCTTATCTATGTGTATGGGCACCCCATGTCATCTATATAATAAATGCGAATGTCAGTGTGTCACACTTTTTCAACTTTACTCTGAGAGGCTATCGCCCAACATATCATACCATTTTGGAATCAGGCTGACTCTGTGAGCAAATTAAAAACATTCCAAGCTGGATCTAGACCTGCAATCTTGAAATTTTGGATTTCCAAATTTTCATTTCTGCAAATGTTTTTGGCAATTTTTGTATGTGATTTTTTGCAACAAATTTTTTTGTACGATAACAATTTTTATAACTTGGAAATAAATTTAGGAATAATCAAAATCTAGCAAAAGTCATCCATGAAATAAAAATAATTGTTTGTATAGAAAGTAAGGATCTACGTACATCAAATTGTCTTTATATTAAGTGGCAGCAGAGGAATTATTGTTGAACATTTAAAAGGTAAATTAAATATTAATGCAATACTTAAATGCAGTGATCACTTTTGAGTTCTTCTGTAGCTTATTGTTGCGTATCACATCTACTCCTTCCTACCTATTGTGATGAAGGCCCAATCAAGTGTCCTTGGCCATATGTGGCAGCAATATTCTAAGCAAGGACAAATAGATATGTACGATAAATTCTGGAGAGAAAAATTGTCTCGCACAACACAGTGAATCAACTTTCTTCGCAGTAGACCTAGCAATGGATTCAATATAGTCTTTTCACTTCATGTCAGCTTAGAATGTTAACCCAAGAAGTTGCAATGTGTTACTCTCATGCTGTTGGAAGGCAGAAAGAGGTCACTCAGGTGATTAACAGAGAGTAGTTTTATATATATATGTGTGTGTGTGTGTGTGTGTGTGTGTGTGTGAAAGGGAAGAATACAAAATTGGTAGAAATGAAGAGAGAGAGTGAAAGATACAGAGAAAGATTAGAGATGAAAGCCAAAGAAGTAGATAGAGAAAAAAATAGAGAAAGATATACAAAAAGAAAGAAAATAGTTTTGAGACACAGAGAGAAAGACAAAAAGAGATTTCTGTAAAAAGAAAGGAGACAAAATTTGTAGAAAGAGGAAAAAGGAAAAAGGAGAATGTGAAAGACAGACAATAAGAGTGAGTGTGAAAGTCAAGTAGTGAGAATAGGAAACAAAGATGTAGAGGTAAAGAATGGCTAAAAATATTTGCAGAGAGAAAAATTGAGTGAGAGGAGGAGGTGGATGAAGAAGAAAGAAAGAATGAGAAAAAAAGGTAGGTAGCCAAAGAAAAAAATGGGTGATTAGGTGAAAAAGGGAGACAACAAAATTAGGAGAGTAAGAAAGTGGGGGAGAGAGGGAAAAAAAGAAAGCAGACAAAATTGGCAGAAAGAGAGAAAGGGAAAAGTGCAAGAAGAAAGAAAGAAAGAAAGAAAGAAAGAAAGAAACAAACAAACAAACAAACAAACAAACAAACAAACAGTGAGTGTGTGGTGTCAAGAAGGGGACAGAAAAAAGAAGATATAGAGAAAAAGACCACAAAATTGGCAAAAAAAAAAAAAGAAATGAAGAAAGTGAGAGAAAAAAGAGGAAGAAAAGGCAGAGAAAGAAAGAATGAAAGTGAAAGCTAAAGAGGAAGCTAGGGAAAAAAGATAGGATTCTAGAAAAAAAGAGAGACAAGAAAATTAGTAAGAGAGATAGAGAAAAGGGTGCAGGCCACAGTAATAAAAGGATAGAAAGGGAGGAAGAGAGAGAAAAAGGAAAAGAAAGAAAGAGCATGTGAAAATCAAGAAGTCGACAGAGAAAAAAGTTAGAGGAATATAAAGAGAAAAAGAAAATGGAAGAGAGAGACAGAAAAGTGAGAGAAGACGAATAGAAAAAAAAAATGAGGGAAAAAGCCAAAGAGATGACCAAAAGAAAAAGATGGGATCTTAAATGAAAGAGAGAAAGAACATAATTAGAAAAGAGACAAACAGACAGACAGACTGGTTAGTTGTTTTTCATGCTCTATTTCCTCAAACAAAAAAAAAAAAAAAAATGAATCAAAGCATAAAATACAGCATTTGTAATCTGCTGCTTTCACTATTGGCAAATATCCAACTGTAACAAAATAAATGTCAGCCATTTTATATATTTTCATTTCTAGCCCTGATCATAATTATTAAATGGTCTTTTGCATGCTTCACAATAACAAAGTGACCCAAGCTGATAAAATCATATCAGAATTTAAAATGGAATTATGTACAGTTTAGGTTTGTACTATTAGTTAACCGAGGCTCATTTTCAATAAAAGAAAAGTGATTTCAAAGTAAAACAGAAAACATCCCTGTACTTCTGACCGCTTAAATGACAATATCAGCTTTTTACCAGGTTTAAAAATACTAACAAGGTTACTCTATGTTACCTGGCTTAAAAATTAGTTCGGAGTAAATTTATTGGCACTGTTTGACCAAGCATAAAAAAATAAAGAGTTTGTTTTTAATATAAAAAATAAGGTGGATGACAAAAATACCAACAACTTTTTAAAAATAGCTTTTAGAAAGAAAAACACAAGTTACTCATAAAAAATTAAATTTTGTCATCAATATATTTCTTTAGACAAAAATAAAATTAAACAACAAATTTAAAGAAAATGATTAAGCAAAATATGTTATTTTGCTTAATCATTTTCTTTAAATTTGTTGTTTAATTTTATTTTTGTTGTCTGAGGAGTTGACAAAGCAAGGTTTGAGTTACTGATTTAAGGAATGCATAATTTTCTCATTGAGACTTCTACTGATCTACAGGTTGGTGCAAAAGTCTTGTCATGCCTATCAAAAAGTAATGAGAACAATAGAAGAACAAGTGAGTCAGTAATACAAAGCACATGTACTGGATTCAGTTTATTCACTTTCAATTGATGCTGTCACACACTGAAAAAGTCTGCATGAAAACCATCATTTTCATGACACAAAATGATGTGGTGACATGTCCTGTGTGATATTTTATGAAGCTGTGCTTTGTTGATTCTTACAAAAGCTCTCTGAACAATGTCCTTCATCTGATGGGCATTCTGGTATCATTCATGTGAAACTCTCTCCTTTATAATAGCCCACAGAGCATTGAAATAGAAAATTATATTATGTAGGGGTGAGAAAACTTTTGGACCACCCTATATATCTGCTAGCTTCAGTTTTGTATCCATCTATCAAGTGCTCTTCATAGCCGAATTGGTAAAGGAACATTTCGGCTATAGAATGACCTATATTCTTGATGGAAAAAGGAAAAGAGTTTTGATTCGTGTCGAAGGCACAATCTTTCTCTAGTAGGACTTCTCAATCTAAGCCACTTGTTATTAATTTCACTGTTTAAGACAGTGGTTCCCAAATTTTTTTTTCTCTGGATCTCATTTCCAGAATGAAAATTTGCTTGTGCCTCACCAAAGTACATTTAAAAATAAAAAATAGAGAGTGGGTTAAAAGGAGATAGCTGCAGATTCGAAGTCAGAACATTATCATTGATAACTTTCTCCTCCACTTTGCAAACCCTAGTTACTATATTCTTAATACTTGATATAATGCAAATATATCACAATGATATAATCGGTCAATAATTATTTATAACTATTTATACTGGGACTCATGCATACAATTACAAGTAATCCGTAATAATATTTTAAATTTTGAAATCATATTTATTTTTGGCATATGAATTATTTTTTAAACTGTTTCTAAAACTTTGATTGTCTTTCAAACATTCCACATCATCTTGGACATCCCTGATTTAGACAGGCAAAAGGATCTAGGCATTTGAGAACAAATGCTTGAGAAAGCTGTCCCACATCTATTAGTGCAAGAACAAAACAAATGGCTATGTACGGAACACAGTCAAAAATTTTGTGGGCTAGCAAGGAATCTTTCCTTGCCACTATTAAGTATCGGAAGATGTCATGGTTTGCCCACATTACATGACATAACAGCCCCTGCAAGACCATCATACAAGGCAGTGTTGAAGGCAGATGCAAACTGGGATGTCAACACAAGAGCTGGTCAGACATCAACAAAGAATGGACAGACATGACAATACCGGAACTCCTGAGAGTCACCACCAACAGATCATCATAGAAGAGGTTGCTTGTTTCTTCTGACCTTAAGGCTAAGGCTTAAGCCTATGACGATTGAAGCAGTCAAGGGAATGATGATGATGATGATGATGATGATGATGATGATGATGATGAACATAGACTGATTTTGGAGAAAGTAACTTATCATTATTAAATTTTTAAAAAAAATTCATTAGAATTTCAATTGTTTATCAATAGTAGAATTGAGGTGGGGTTATTTTTTTAGTGTTTGGTTGATGTGTAGGAAATTCTGTCATCCAGGTTTTTCTTATATTAAAAATCCAAACACCCAAATTCCAAATAATAATAAAGTAAAACTAAATAAAACATGGTTTCATGCCTGTTAAATAATTTGTATTTACAAACATACGTACATTAATTTGAAATAAGTCAAAAAGGCATAAAAATAGTCTTTAGTTGAGTTAAAGTCTTTGGGTAGTTGTTACTGTGGTTTACCCCACTTGACTTTACTAAAAAATGTCGCTAGGGGACGCTCCTGAAGCCTATGAATAAGAATTATATTCTCACCCATTCTCTTTCCCCTTTTTACAACTCAGGCTATAAGATGTAATTGCACGTGGTGAAAAAAATGTGTCCCCCACTGTGGCATGTTCACTTCACTTTCAATGCATTACTTTTCTTTCGAACTTCTTCCACACAAACTTCATCATACACATTGATACACATTTTCTAGTTTAAATGTTTTCTTCTTTTATTGTCATTTTATACTTTTGTTACTATATACATTATCATTTGTTTTATATACTGTTTTGTCTTATTCATTTATAATTTGGACTCACATTCGAGTCCGCAATAATTGTTATGGGAAATTATACCAGGAGACATGTGTTTTCTATATAAACATGACTAGCCTTCCCACAACAGTACACAGAGAAAGCTGAACTTCAGAAAATACTTTTAGTATTTGATTCACTGTCAAAGTTGTGGTTGAAAAAAAAAATATTGTCAGTGAATATTCACTGACCATCCAAGCTGTTGTTGTTGTAGCTGATTCATTTGAAGTCCCCGACTCATGTTTCTTTTAGCACGTGCTAGGTAGGGTGGAGGTTGGCAGAAAAAAAGCTAGGTCTTCTCCTGTGACTGAAACAGCCGCATCTCTGCATTTTCAAAGTCAAAATATGTGGATTTTTTCCCAAAAGCATACCTGAGAAAAGTGTGGCTTTTTTTAAAATCAAAATTCTGGTTGAATTTATTTCTGTGTATGACTAGTGCATTTGATAAATGAATTATGGCACTTTGTGTCCTTTACATATTTTGACTGACCTTTCAATCACCTGATGAATATTCATAAACATTCTCAAATTTAAAAACCTTGAAAAACCAATGACATCATTGCCTTTGAATATAAACACGTGGCCACAAAATAAATCCTACATTTGTCTTGATAAAGTCCCTCAGAGGATGAAATATGTTGGCTAAGAATAGTTTTTCCTCTTTTAATCACACACACACACAAACACACATATATATTAACTATTAACACAGCCCAAAAGACAAAAATTAGAGCAACACTTATCCTCAACTTCTGTCAAGGAAAGTAACTGAAATTTTTATAACAACCAAGATGTGTCCCATCTCAAACAGTGGTGCTGCGGCATTAAAAGAATGCAACCTGGGTCCATTCACAGGTTTTTCATTGTCAACCCTACTACACTACTGATTGATTCATTTTGGGGGCACGGAAGTTTTCATTATTTACGTTATTTATGTACAGACTATTGTTCACATCTTTGTTATTATTATACCAACGTTTCTGCCATATGTGTGAGTGGTGTAATGGTGTTCGAATTCTAGTCGGCTTTGTTATATTTACTTATACATAAATACTCTCGGGAAAGGCAAGAATTAATTTTTAAGCAAAATAGAAACGAAAAGGATACTTGTGCACAGTGCCAGAAAAAAAGAGTCAAAATTTTGGGTGCATATAATGAGAAAAGAAGGCTTAGAAGATTTGATACTCACAGAAGGGGGAGAAGGGAAACATCCAATAACCTACCTGGCGAGTTTGTGTGAATCGGTGGATGTACGGGTATGTATGGATAGCAGCTTGGGATGGGAAAGTGGTAGTCGAGTTCGAATTCCGGTCAAATTCGTTATATTTCCTTATGGGAAAGGCATGAATCCACCTCACCCTGCTTGAAGTTGAATAGTAGGACTTGTATCTGAAAAAAATCATGCGCTATTCACTTGCAAAAACCACAGTCCTGGGTATGACGATAAACTACATCCGGCAGCAAAGTTTCCAGTCGGGAGATTGAAGGTTTTGAGGAGCGTGGAACCACCTCTTAACTATTGTTGTTCCCAGGTTCACCCTGACTTGGTGTGATAGCACTTGTTAGGGTCCAAGCTATACACAAATAGTGCTCCCCACAAAAAAAAACAAAAAAAAAAAACACTATTAAAGTATAAAAATACATTTTTATATAAAAAAAAATTACCAACAGTACATATTCATAGTAAAATTATCAACAATACATTTTTAAGGAAAAATGGCCAGCAATACATTTTATACTAGAATTACCAAGTATACATTTTATAACAAAATGACCAACAATACATTTTATCTGTAATTGACAGCACACAATTGCATTTGAAATATATTTAGCCATAAAATTGTGTCCAAAAATATTTAGATTTCGACATTAGATAACCCATAGAGGTTGATATGTTGCTTAACAAAATCAACAAGTTATATTCCAAAATATGTTTTGAATTTAAATAATCCGCAAAAAACAAATCAGCCATCAATCGTCCATTGTGGCCTGCACCCTTCACCAGGTGCTTGTCTATTCAGGTAACCTACAGGGAATTTCTAGCTGAACCCTTTATTTAATTTTAGGCATGGGCATTTAATTTTAGGCATGTTGTCATTCCACTGAACGACAACAATCTACCACCGTCGATTAAATAAAAGTTCAGTTCTGGATTCCCTGTAGATCACCTAGATCGGCAAACACCTGATGAAGACCGAGGGAGCACAATGACCGAAACGTGATAATGTAGAAGTTCATGCAAATCATCAGTAGAAATTAGCTTCGTGTTCACGTCGATAAAAGCATACTTGACAAGAAATAAAACGTACACAAATAACAGGAAAAGCATGGTAAATTGTATGTTAATTTCATACAATTTATTTATATTTTTGTGTGTATTTTTTTAAAGTTACAATTGTTTTATGGTATATATAATAAAAGGAATAATTTACTCTGTAATATTACAAGCCATACCACAGAGAGAAGTTACACATGTGTTGCCTGTATCAAGGTTCGCGGTGAAGAAGTTGAATTTAACGTCTTTTGGCAGAATGCTCGCATTTTTGACAGGAAAAGGTTTTGCTGCGTGCTGGGAGTATTTTTTATTATTTTTATTTTTTATTTAATTTATTTTATACAATGTTTTATGTTATTGTTTTATGTTATTTTATTTATAATTATTATTATTTTTATCATTATTTTATATTTTATTTTTAATAATAATAATAATATTCCAACATTAACAACAATAAAGATCATAATAATACAATAATCCGTGTATAAATAATCGATAACTCCTCATCCAAGAAATTCAGACAATAAGTTTTCTTTACTATGCTTTTTGTAAAACTTCACGAAGGTTTGATTTGTTAGGGGGAGTGATTTTTTACAAAATATTAATCTTTGATTGATACTTTCAAGCCTTTTGTAAAATTATATTGATAAATATGTAACAGGGCAATGGCACTGATTAAATCATGAAACGTCATTTAGTGACTTGAGGTATTGAGTGAGTTAAGAATACTAAGTGGGGAAAAATATACAAGATTAGTTGACCAGATTAGAATCTGATGGAAAAAAAAGGTTTAGTTTAAAAATATTAACCAGAACCTATAAAATGTTTTTTATTAGGAAGGCATCAGTTAGATTTGAACCCAAAAGCAAGATCTAGTACAGTGTGTAAGGGCCTATTGGTTGAAAGATTTATTTTTGGAACGTCGGGGTTACCAATTGTAAAGGTGTCCGTTTGTAGATAGACCAATACTATTTATATTATTATACTTTCAACGTACGGGATTCAAGTAAAACAACAAAAACTCCAAACTGTGAATCAACAAGTATATATTGAAGTAACATATAAGAACAAACATGCAATAAAATTGTATTCAATCTTTAGAAAATAGTAAAATTTACTAATATAACGTGAGCGTTTTTTTTTTTTTTCATATAATTTTTAATTACCCAGTGATCTTAACAATTTAGGAAAATATTCTCCGTAATCTAATGTTTTATTAAATTTTAGGTCCTCTGGCTTTAAATTTATTATAGTTATCGCTCTAATTTCCTATAATGTTGTGTATGAACGTCCATATTTACAAAAATCAATACGTTTCTTTATACATACGGAAAAAAGTTTAAAAATTCTTTTTAAACTATTGGTGTTTGATGAATTGTATTAAGCTTTTCGCTTTATGATTAGTAAATATAGCTTAATAACAATATCACCTAACCCAGCCCACAGCACCCTAAAATCTTTAGGTATATTTTCATTTACTTTGTTAACGTATGCTGAGATTATTCTTAAATTGTGCTAATTTTTTCAATTTCCCATTGCACTAAAAGGAGGAGGGGACAAAGGACTTTGCTCAGACACATTTATTTAGCTTACGGTTTTTTGGCTCTGGGCTATGTGGTACAGTCCTCGGACTCCTGCCTAAACCCCCCACATTATCAGACATGATAAATTTAAGTTTCTTGGAAACAATTTATTTATTTTTTAATTCTTTCACCCCAGGCAAGGCAATAAAGTTTCTAAGATATAAAAGGTTATTCAGTGTCTGTTATATTGGTGTGAGTTCGTGTCAAACATCCTCGTCGCCACTGTTATATTCCATGCTAAGGGAATAAACACGTAACACCAGGTGGATACTAGAAAAAAGGTTTATTGTACACAACCAGTACAATATGAAATACGGTACAGTTATACACACAGGTCAATCTAGTAGTGAGTGTCACTAATTGAAAGGTCGGACGTGCTTACTTCATCTCGCTCTCACACATCCTCCACTGAATCTCTCGTAGACGGTTGACTTTATAGGTACTTGTTACCTATAGTGTAATCATTCGTGGGGGTGACTGGTTATTCCATTACATCAGTGTCAGAGAATATGAGAACAAGAAAAACCATTATGCCGCTGACATGAAGTAGAAAGATTATTTTGAATCAAGTACTAAGTCTGCTACAATGAAAGTTGGTTCACTGCGTCGTGCTAGACAATTTTTCTCGCCAGAATCTATCTTACCCATTTATAAGTCGACCATTCGTTCATGCCTTGAATATTGCTGCCACATATAGTCTAGTACTTCAGCTATATATTTAGAGATCCTCGATAAAATCCAAAAGAAGAATGTGCAGTGTTGTTGATCATGACCTGGCATCTTGGCTTCAGTTACTTTCCCACCACCGTAATGTAGTTTCCCTGTGCTTTTTCTATAAATACTTTCATGGTAATTGTTCTGATGAACTTTCCTCTCTGGTACCTAGACACTATGAATTTGAGAACAGTACTAGTATAACGGCAAGGTCTGTATCATTTTACAGTTGAAATGATGAGAGATGTAACCGTAAGTTCTATGCTAACATTTTCTTCTTGCACACAACTCGCTTGTGGAACTTTCTTGCGGCTTCTTGCTTCTCAGTCAACTTTGATCTCCAAACATTTAAATGCAATGTTAAACGTTATCATCTGTCTTCTTAATTCCTGTTCTTTTATTGTTCTCTTTCCTTAATACCGTTTCTCCTTTTCTTATATTCTTTAACAGTCTGCAACCCCTTGCGTCTTAGTGGCTTTATTGTTCTGCTTAGTGTGAAATGATTAAAAAAAACAAAAAACAACAAAACTTCATTATTCTTTTTTCATAAGGTTGTAAAATCAATAAAGAAAAATATCCAATTTTTTTATTTTTTAAGAATGAAATATCCAGATTAAGTTCTATAAGTTTTGGGGTTCGTTCCCAAAGATTGGACTGGATTCTTGGCTTATTCCACTAACAGTAAAGAAACGAACATAACATATTTATCATACTAAAAGATTTCAGTGTTTTGGCACTTCAACGTGATGTAATGGTTAACAAGCTTGTCTCGCTAGATATTTTACGACTGAGCAATGACTTTGATTCTCACTGGGTGCTCCATACTTTCGACATTGTGCTACATCTAATCTACTCTTACTAAATCGCACAGACACTTCAACGTGATGTAATGGTTAACAAGCTTGTCTCGCTAGATCACTTATGACTGAGTAGTAAGTCCATACTTTCGGCCTTCTTTCTGTTATATGATGTATAAAAAAATATAAATAAAATGTTTCATTGTTTAGTCAATTGTTAAAAATATATAAAATTACGAAACATATTCTTAGTAATTGTATTTTGTACTACTTTATAATCTATATATATAATTGTTTTTCTCTCATAACGTTTCAGGCGTATGTTCCAGCCTTCTTCAGGTGTCTTTTGTATTTTAGTATGTGGAATTTTGCTTTTAATGTTACCAACAGACCACATGCTTTTGTTTGCTTGCTCTTACAAGTGTACTCGTCCGATTTACTCACTATACCCGTGACATTCCAGTTAAAATTGGTCATTCCACCACCGTCGCCCATATTGGGGGGTTCATATTTTTGAAACCGTAAATCCACTGTTTCTTAATTAGTAGATCTTATATGATATTAAAATCTATGCACACGTCGTGCGTGTGTATGTGTGTGAATTCCTTCAAACTACAGTGCTGTTCCCTGTCTGTCATTTAAAGTCTATGCTTTGTCTGATGATCGAATTGAAAAAGAAAGAGGGACAGAAAGATAGAGAGAAGGACTCTGAGTGTGTGTGTGTGAATTCCTTCAAAATTCAATAGTCTTTCCTGTCTATTAATTGGACTTTATTCCCTAAAGGTTGGTTTACTCTCGCTTTCTTCCACGCGTGGTCCGCCATTTCTGATTTTAAAATGTCTCCATGGATTGTATGTTGTATATTCTTGCTGTTGTACCACTGCTCTCTGTCCCACGCCACACCCAAATATCAACAAACCTAGCAGCAGCAGCAGCGTATATTTTGGGGCTAATATCCTGTTTCACGTATTTTATGTAAGGTAAGTACTTACTCTTCTTAATGAGGTAAATCGGAAACAAATGCCTCTTGACGATATCCATGTCTTCACCAGGAATTCATCTGCAGGTAAGAGGTTACATTTAGAACAGTCATTCCCAAAGTGGTCGATATCAATATTCGATGGGATTATCCAGGAGGTCGATAAAATCTTATGGTGTCAAAAGTGCGTTGATAAAAGCTTGGGGTCAAAAGGGAGCTGATAAATACCTAGAGGTCAAAAGAGAGTTGATAAATTCTTGGGAGATCAAAAGTTGGGGTGGGGGTGATAATTACTTGGGGATCAAAAGGAAGTTAATAAATTCCCGAGAAGCGATAAATTCCTGCGGTCAAAAGGAGGTTGATAAATGCGAATCCTGAATTTTCTTGCATGAATTTTAACCTCTCCAGAAAAACTTATATATAGGTCACCGAAAAATACATAATTTTTAAACATTTCAAAAAAATTACCTGTCTATAGTGCGACCCCTATATTTTGCGTAAAACAACTGATCATAAAAAATAGACACTATACTCAAGTATATTCGGTAGGGCAAAAGTTTGTGGTTCTCCCACCGAATACTGAAAATACCCTAACCCTTTCTTCTCCTAGAACGGTTGCCATCCAAAGCTATAGAACCTAGTTTTTCATGTTATTTACCCATAGCTTAGAGAAGAAGATATGAACTTTAGTAAAACAAAGTTCTTAATGACTCTTGGGTATGTCGGGTTTTCTTTTTATGGTCCCGACGTAAGTAAGGATAAGAATGGTTAAAGTCAGCTTTGCAATGAGTTGGAACAACCAAATTACTTACTTCATTAGTGGAGCTGAAAAACACATCCGAACACTGTGTTGGAAAGTGGAAAGAGAAAGGTTCTATCCTTTCTGAACTAGGGGTAATAAAATTACCTAGATGACCAAAAAACACTTTCCGGTTCCTTTATTACTTGCATCGTGGGAAAATTTCTTTCTTTTTTTATTCTTATTTTATTTATTGACTTTATTTAATTTTCCTACTAGCCTAATAAATTGTAATTTTATAACTTGTAATCTTGCCTAATCATAACGGGCAAAAGAAAATTTTGTGCAAGCCTATTGGTAAACTTTCTATTCTGTTTTATTGTTTTTTTGTCATTGTAATAATTTTTTTTTTCAAATTTCACATCGGTGTAATAGTCTTGTTTAATTTCATTTGCGCGTTTCACTCGGGGTAAGAGATGTAATGTTCTCTCTACTCCTTAAAATATTTGAAAGATATGTATGAAGATTATGGTTTTATTGGTCTTTGACGTATTCGGCTTATCGTAAACATCCGGGTTTTGCATATTAAAGTGTAGGAATTTCTGTCGTCAAAGTTGTTTTTTTTATATTGTTGCGCGTGTGTTGGTCGTGTGTTTAGGTGGAAAACATGTGTCTCCTGATATGTTTACTTCACAACAAAAATAGGGAACTCGAAATGTGAATCCGGGTAATAAAACGAAAAAGTAACACCAAAACTATATATAAAAAGAAACGATTAGTATGTATTAACAAAACCAAGGCATACATAGACAATAGAAGATTGCTGACTGTTACAAAAAAATGAACATGAATGAAGAAAAAATTTAAACTAGTGAATTGTTTGTGTGGTGTATAGTTTGGTATAGGAGAAATTCCTAGAGAAAATGAAGTGAAAGGTGCGTGCGCGCGCGTGTACGTTCCCCAGTGGGAAAGCGTGTTTCCTCATTTGACGTACATCTTAACGTTCTGAGTGAAAAGGGAAAAAGAGAGTGGCAGAGAATGTTACTGTCTATTAGGCTTATAGAGTGTCGTCTAGCGGTGTTTTTTTTTTGTTTTTTTTTTTTTAGGAAAGTAAGTGGGGTAACTCCATAATATTAAACATCTGAATTCAAAACAATAATAAAATAAAAATAAAGAAAACATGGGTATACTTGTTAAATAAATAATTTGTATTGTAATTACAAACATATGTACATGAATTTGAAATGAGTCAAAAAGGAGTAAAATAGTCTTTTAGTTGAGTTAACGTCTTTGGATTGTTGGTTTACAGAAAAAGTTATGTTTTTATTGTTTTTACAAAACACTCTTATTAGTTGGTCCACCGTAAAAATCTAAGGTTGAGAAAAGACTTTTTTATCGTCAGCGAAGATTCCCTGACCACTCTTGTTGTTGGAGATGATACGTTTGAAGTCACTGACACATGTTTATTTCAGCACGAGTTGCAGGGGGAGCTATATGTCGCCATGTCTTCTCTTGTGTATAAATGACATGGAGAAACTGCATCTCTTCTCGCTGAAAGTCTAAATCTGTGGGTTTTTATCAAACAAAAGTAGGCTAGAGAAAAATAGGGTTTTTTTAGTTTTCACTGATTGGTCAAATATTTCACATGATGATGTTAATAATTTCTAACCAATAGACACATTAATTTAAACTCTGTGCTGTATCGTCGAATCTTTTTAAAATGTTTGTAATATCGTAGTAAGTAGATTTTAAAAAGGGAACAAGTTGGTTACCCACCGTCCAAACTTCCCGTGCTTGGAATCAGAAGAGAAACAAAACGAAATTGTTCAGATCTTTTTAAAAGCCTTTTCTTCTTTTTTTTACTTAAAGCTAAAGCTGCTCTTTTCGATCAACGCAATAAAGTTGATAAATTGGTTTTCTTTTCTGGTATTTTTTAAAAGACGGGATGTGTATATTTTTTTTTTACAATTTCAAGAAAAGTTTAAAAAGTATATAAAAAATGCTATTTTAAATTAGTACTCAAAAGTTATATTGAAAGTAATATGAAATGAATTCTAAAATTACCTATATAAAGTTAATCTAAATGTTTATTTTCCCATTAAACTCATTAAGTTTTAAAATAGATTTGACGTCTATAAAATATTTGCCATCAAGATCACTCGAGAACTTGAAATACGAAACTATAGACTAGCTCTGCTATATAAAGGTCATCATGGCGGCTATCGTTCGGAGTGGTGAGTTTTTTTTCTTCTCTTTTTCGTTTTAAAATAAAATATTATTAAAAACAAAATATTTTTATTGTTAATTTAATAGCCATTCATGAAGTGGAATTAATATGTGAAAAGAAAATTTTCACTGTAAATATTTTCATTTATTTTGCTAATTAATTCAACCTGTAGAGAAAGAGACGAATCTGTAACCAGACACCAGTAACAACAGTAACACGCTTATCATCTGCTACCGGATTGATGAGACTTGTTACAACAAATTCATGCTGATTTTTAAATAAATTTTATTATATAAACTAAGAAACAATTCATGTTAGTGGTTATTTGCGTGTGATTTTTTTTCAGTCATTAGCACGCGTTGTTGCAGCACAGAAAGAACAAACAAACAAAACGTTCACATTTTTTAGAACTAATGACAAGTTTTCTTTTAAGAATTAATAAAAAAACTTACGTAATTTTTAAATGAGTGATTATTATCATTTTAAGTGTTATTCGTACCATTAATGTCGGTTTTGTTATTTCATTTATTTTTGTAAAAATATGTTGAGTAAAAAATTGTGTTTTGTCAGAGATTTTCAGATGAAATATTGCATTTATGATCGTCAGTCCCAAATTTTTATCAATTGTATTTTTTACAGGGTTTTAACAAAATACGAGAGACAGAGACAGACAGACTGACTATCAAAGCAAGGAAGAATAAAATAATTTTTTTCCTTAATGAATCTAAGTTCTTTCATTTATAACACAGACGGTTCTCTATTATTTCAAAGATGATTTCTGCTAATCTAGAGGGACTGGAAATTTTAAATGTTCATGTCGCTAACCATGTTGGCGGGCTTTGGTAACTTTGATAAGGGTAAATTCTAAAACCCCCTCCTAATTATTTGTCTCTGCTACGGCTTTTCATTAGGCTTTCCTTTACTCATCTTCGTTGTTATACAACTCAACCGAAACACTAACAAAAGATGAGATCATTTTTAAGTCTGCATTACTTACGTAAGTAGTTTGGTCCATTTGTAAAAAAAAAAAAAAAAAAAAAAAAAATAAAGGAAAATTATTTCTGGAAATAATTTTTTTTTTTTTTTGTAGATTAGCATTCCTTAAATGACGACATTTGTCAGAAGCAGAAAATATTGATGTTTTTTTTTTTTGTTTTATAAAAAAATTCTGAAAATTAAAAAAAAAGTTAGATTGTAAGCACAGTGTCAAAAGTTGATAGTTGTAATTAATAACTAAGCCCAATAACACTGCAAAAAGTCAGAGATCGATTTTACACTGTCAGCATCCCCACAAAAATTATTCCCTGTAAAAATGTTTCATATTTTATAAAGAGTGTACCAGATTGCACCTAAAAAGTAAAAATAATTTGGAATAATTTTTTAAATTTTACAAATTTTTAGGATAAAAATAATTATTTCACAAACTAAGAATGAGTATAAGAAAAAATGACTTTAGGGGGTGTATGGGAAAAAATTATCAGCTCAAAAAACTTTAACTAAAAATGTAATTCAATCCAAATGTTAGTGTTATTTTATGGCTACTTCGTCAGGCTCAGAACTTTTCTGCACCCTCTTCTCTTTTTCTTTTTTTTTTTTTTTAGTAATTCAATTTCTTATTCCCAAACAGTGCCATTCACTGTTTGAACCCAAGGAAAAAGCCTGGATTGATTGTGAATGCTGATTTTCCAGATAGGTATTTTATTTCCCCTTTGAAAATTGGTGCAATTCAATAATAAGTTTTAATTTCCTCCAATAATTTGGTATAAATTTTCAATACCTAAGGTTTAGAATGAATTTTTAAAAATGAAAAAGCATTCTTGAAGATTTCATTTTAGCTTTAGTTGAAAGCTAAAGGATTAAATTTAATTAAGGATTAAATAATATTTAAAGTTTTGAAATCATATTTATTTTGGGTATGGATTTTTAAAAAATGTTTCTAAATCTTTGTCTTTCTATCATTCTGCCTCACCTGCTATCCTTAAAATGCACATGAGGCATGCTGCACCATTTGGGGACCACTGCTCTAAGGTATAAAGATATTCTGTTTTAGATGATTTTTATATTGTATGATTTTTTATTTATTATTATATTTTATTTTTTTATTTGTCAGGCTTAGTGTGCATTCAGTCAGTAAAATATTCTAGTGTATTTTAAATAAAAATTATATAGATTGGAAATTATATAGATTTTTGGCTGATTTAAGAAAATTTTCTTAAAAGTGGCCCTTTTCTTAATTTTAAGAGATTTGCAAACAAAACAAAATTATCGGTTTAAAAATTTTACAAAAATAAAATATATATTTGTGACACATTATTTGAGTAAAATTAGGCAAATTTAAAGTTAAATTAATCTGATTTGAAATAAACATTACTTATAGCCTAAAAATGTAATATACAAGCATTTCTTAACGACGGGTCCTGTGTTTCTTTCATTATCTTTATTGACATATTCATAAGTGCTGAGGTGGTGAGATCTAATATGGATGACCAGAATTGACATAAATTTATGAAATCAGAGTGAATGCATTTTTTTTTGGTTTTTAATTACCTAGTAATTTTTACAAATGAACATATTTTCAATAATTATAATTTATTAATTTTTATTTAACTTTCGAAGATGCTTTATGAAAAATTTAAAATACTATAAAATTTTTTAAAATTAAATTTAAAATTTAATAACAGAAGAAATACCATCATAGAAGCAACTTAATTTATGAAATGTTATGGTAATTTAAACTTTAAACTAAACAGATCTTCCGTTTTATGTTGTTAAATTACAAAAATATAAACAAGTGGAGGTAACTCCTACTTGGTGCATTACAACAGATTGCTTGCAGTTTTCAAAAATTGGCTAAAAAGAGGATGCATCAAGAAATATAATAAAAACAAAATTTTATTGTCAAAAAGTTTATTAAGATGAAAGATCAAAAACATTTTTGATGTGAAAATTATTATTTTTTTTATCCTTTTTAGAACTTTAGAAATTGAAAAAAAAATCTTGTTTTTTCTTGCATCAAAGGAGGACCACAAATTTCTACAGGAAATTTAAGCATGTTTTTGCATTGAAAAACATTGATTTGGAAATTCTTGTAAATGTCAAATAACTGTTTGATTTTAATGAAACCTTCAGGATTTACAAATAAAGGAAATTATTTCAAAACGTTTTTCTTTTTTTTAAGCACATTTTATTTATCATTTTTAAGTACTCAGTAATCTTAAAAATTTAAGAAAATATTCTTTGTAATCTAGTGCTTTATTGAATTTTAGATACTTTCTGGCTTTAAATTTACTATAGTTTACTCTTATTTTCTAAAATTGTAGTGTATGTGCCACCATTTACAAAAAATAAAAATCTTTTAAAAAAAATTGGTGTTTGATGATTTCTACTGAATTGTATAAATATGTTGGCTTTTGTAAATATGGATGTTATTCAATTGCCTAGAACATTTTCTTAAATATTTAAGATTACTGGGTAGTTAAAAAAAAGAGATAAAAAAGTTTATTATTTCATTCTCACTTCTTTTACCTCTTGGATATCTCATTCTCACTTTACATCTCGGATATTGTGTGTTTTCCTGCTAATTCAGAACTTCAACATCAATTTTTCCTTATGATGCAGTTCAGCCTCTCCCCCTCAACTTTTTAAAAATGTATTTGTTGTGAATTATTCTGTTCTTATATATACAGTTTTTTGCTTCTTATTTTTCAAGTGTCGTCTATATGCAGTTTGAGGAATCTCTTCTCAAGGTGAGTACTGAATATTCTGTGTTTTTAAAAATTCCTTATTCTATCACACCAGAGAAATCCACCATATTACAAGTCCTGTCAACTAACCATTGAAAGTAGTTTCACACTGACACCATACAGACATCTCTAAATACATTCCCTATGATTATTATAATTTTAAATAATATAATAACCAAGGATTTTCCAACAATAAACCATATGTGTATAGTAAAATTATGAATATGAAATTAAACAAAAATTACTCAAAAATGAATTGGCCTATTTATCACTGTTTCTCACAGAACCCTAGCAACCTCTGTAGAACCCTAGGTTTTCAGGACTACAGGTTGAGAAGCATTTCTCTAAGGCAGTGGTTCCCAAACTTTTTTTTTGTCTGTGCTGCATTTTCATAATTAAAATTTGCTAATGCTTCACCAAATTTTATGGGATAAAAAGTACATTTAAAAATAAAATCAGAGAGAGGGTTAAAGGGAGATAACCGCAGATTCAAAGTCAGAACATTATCATTGAAAACTCTCTCCTCCAATTTGCAGAGCCTAGTTGCTATATTCTTAAGACTTGATATAATGCAAAAATATCACAATGATAAAATTGATCAGTAATTATTTATAACTATTTATATTGGGACTCATGCATGCAATTACAAGTAAGCTATCATAATATTTTAAATTTTGAAATCATTTATTTTTGGGTATGGATTTTTAAAAAATGTTTCTAAATCTTTGTCTTTCAATCATTCTGCCTCACCTGCTATACGTAAAATGCAAATATGAGGCATGCTGCACCATTTGGGGAAAACTGCTCTAAGGTATAAAGATATTCTGTTTTAGATGATTTTTATATTGTATGATTTTTTATTTATTATTATTATTATATTTTATTTTTTATTTGTCAGGCTTAGTGTGCATTCAGCCAAACATGTTCCTGCTCAATCCTTGTCTCCTTGGTTCTTGTCTTCACAACGCAATTACCATTTAACCTCTGTCAACAGCAAGAATAAGTGGGAAGGCTATAATAAAATCATATATCCACCCACAAAGCCTGGAGAGCCAGAGAGGCCAGCTGTAAGGAAAAAAAATACTATTTGTTTTGTAAAGCTTTATATTTAGTCTATTTACATGAGTATCTTTGTTGTGATTGCTTACATTTTTGCCAGTGAACTTTCTATTGAAACTTGTCCTCTTCATTTTTATATCCCAAGAATCATTGTCTTACAATTAGAATACACTTTAATAAACCCATTTTTAAAAATATGCACTTAAATTACATTAACATTCCACAAATCAAACATAAACAGATGACATGAAGATATGACGTCCACACAACCAATGAAAACAAAACAAACCTGCACTTAAAAATTGAGACATAACTCTGCATCTTTTCACTTCCAAAGAAATTGCTGATGAAGTTTAAACGGTGAAAAGTTTATATATAATATTTCAAAATAAAAATGTGGACCATTCTGACAAACCCAACAAATCAAAATATATTGTTCTACCAACCAACTCTATCACAACTACAATTGAAAAGACTTTATCTAAGCTTAAGATAAAATTTGTTACAACTTCTAAAACAATAAAAGATTTAATACAAAACAGTTAAAGTTAAAATAAATAAGTTAAAACTTGAAGGAGGAATTTACTCTATTACCTGTAATAATTGTCACAAGGAATACATAGGAGAAACCTCAATGAATTTAAATAAAATATATGAACACAAAAGGGATCTTTTGCAAAATAACACACTCACTGCATTAGTTGCTTACCATAATGAGTCTGGCCATAATTTTGATTTAACAACTGCTACTTTAATTAAAAGAGAAAGCAATTTACTATGATGAAAAATGTATAGAAAGTGCTTTAATTTACAGATCATTCACAGTAAATTTACATCCAGGTTCTTACATTTCACCTTTTTTAGCAGATCTTCTATTATCACAGTGTGGGAGATTTAGTAACAAAAGTGATGGAAACAAACAAAAAGAAACTATTAAATGAAATTGGCGAGACTATGTACCCAGATATATTGAAAAAAAAATTTAAATTTAAAATTTAAATGTCTCCTCTCCTTTGTGTACATGTAGAGTTGCATCAGCATAAACATCAATAAAATGTATCACATGAAAACTTATTCCACTTTTGTCATAGATTTTCCTAAAAATTTTTTTTGATTATATAAAATTATATATTGTATTATATATATATATATATATATATATATATATATATATATATATATATATATATATATATATATAGGTTGAGTCATGAATAATTTCCTTTTTTTTTATCAACATTACTTTTCATATGTCAGTTTAGTGTTGTGTTGTTTTTCTTTCAGAGCTTAAAACCCACACAATAATTGTTTTGCCTCTTTCAATTCAGGAAATTACACATGTACGGAAAAATATCAAATACAGTCCTTTAAAGTTATGGTATATTGCTTGCATGGTAAGTATGCATTTATTTATATTACATACATAACCACAACATGTATATAATAATTATCAATGTATATTTAATTATACTAGAAAGGCTCATAAAAATTTCACAATTTTCCAAATTTAATATTCTGATGAATCTTAATTCTTAAGTTAAAGATTGAAAAAAACTCATAAAACATCCGTAGAAATTTTCCTATTGCATCATTAAATATTGAACTTAATAACTTTAACAAAATATTGCAATAATAATCATAAATATGAATGCTGATTGTTATTTTAAGAAGTAAGGGGGTACAAATGAAAAGATTGGAAGTTGACATCTTTTTTCATTTCATTGAGACAGCCATTAATCACTTCTATCTGTCCTTCTTTCTTTCATTTTCTCACTGAAACCAAGTAGTATCTCTGATATGTCATTTCTGTGTTTTCACAAAATCAAAACAGAATAGTCCATTATTTATGAAGTATTAGCAGGCTGTAATGGTTGTGTGAACTAAGGAATTAACTAAAAAAGGGAGGGACAAGCAGAATTATAAGGATATTTCCTGTCCTATATGTAGTGGAAAGGGAGATAAATCAACTTCAGTTATGAGTGATTACTTCCCTTAGTCATTTTAATAATCTTTACAAATAAAATATTTATCTGTATTTAGACAAAATTAGTTCCCCAGCAAAATGAACCGCTTAATTAATCAGTTCCTTTACTTCTATGTTTCTTATTGTCCAAGCCTTTCATGCGAGACACTCAGATACCATTGTCTAATAAGTGATTGTCTTGCTTCAACTTGGTCTTGAAATAGGCTTTGTCATTGCCATCACTAATCTTTTTCTTCCAAGAGATTTCCATTTCACTGTTATATTAAACACACAAAATTTTCAAAATGCAACAATATTGAGGAAAAAGATTTATATAATACCAGGAGTAATCAATGAATCATAGATGCCACTGAACGACTAAAAATATAAAGGAAACGGATTAATTAAATGGTTCATTGGCCTCAATTATTCTTTATTTCCACTTCTTTTTGACAGCATGGGTACACTTGTCAAATTATAATTCTACGTGTCCCTAAGCACTTATGTTATGCCCTCTGTTATAACTTGCCTGTCCTCTGCCCATGAAACAGAAGAAAAGATAAAAAAAAAATGTGCTGTTGAGTTTTAAAGAAGAAAAGAAAGAAAGAAAGAATGACTGTCATGTGTTTAACGTCTGCTTCAGTGAAATAGAAAACCTTGTCAGTTTTGAATCTTTACATTTGTACACTCTTACTTCTTCAAATAATGACCTGCATTTATAGTTTTTATTGTCATTGTAATATTTTAATATTGTTAAGCTCAAATATTTATTGCTGCAAAACTCACAAGGAGTTTATTTAACCATTAATGTAAGAATTAAGATTTATTAAGTTATTCACAGCTATTAGGGAGATGTGATATTTAAAAAAAAAATTATTCAGTATTATTATAGTTTTGGTAATAAGCATTATAACATAGCACAAATAGTTATATTGTAGAAAAAGAAATTTTTGATAATATACATATTTTTTACTTATTTATGGTTATTTCTTAACTCTTATCAAAAACGACATTCTTGTAAATGTAGCTATGGGTAATATTATACATTAATTACTAATTTTTTTAATTAATAAGTCTTTGTGCTCAGTTGTTGACATTAATAGCTCTCTGCTGAATTTTGGAATAATGCAAAAATAAACATTTAAATTTCATCTCTGATGTTGTGATCTGTTTGATTATTTATCTACAAAACTTCCTTCAGTTATATAGGGAATAATTTTGTATCCTTCGTTTTAATATTTAGTAATTGTAAAACAGGAGTTGCTCATAAAGCATTTGAATGTGGGTGCTGTCTGGATTTAATGGAAGAAAATGTTATATCTGATGTCATGTGAAACCCATCACCATTATTTAGATCTTAATATTACAATAATATCAAGTTAGGTTTTTCTTTATCTTTTGGTCTCACCCCAGCAAGCAATAATTCTATTAACATACCAGGGAATACTGAGAGTAAAAGAGTATGAGAAAACATTAGTGAGGAGAATGAACAATAAAAAATAGGTTTCTGGAAGATAGAAGATGGCGATTGACGTATTTACAGAGAAACAAGAAGAGTTTCATAAGTGTGAGAAAAGAAACTATTAGAATAGAATATATGATCACATCTAGCTATTTCAAAAGTAAAAGAATGAGACCTAGTTTTCAATCTAGTAGTAAACTTAAATTTGTGTAGTTGAGGTACTAAGGAGGAGAGCTCATTAAAACAATTGCCATGAAAATATTAAAAGAAAAGACAGTGAAGCTATGTTATGATGGTGAGAAAGTGACTGAAGTTAAGATGCAAGGTTAGGACCATTAACCAGGGCTGTTGAGGCATGGAGTTGGAAGCAATTAAGAGATCATTGGAGTCGGAGTCAGTAAAACTATACTGACTCCAGTTGAATTTACACTCTATGTAAAAAAAAGTCTTACATTATAGAATTTTTATTTTTATTGTTATTTCTTCTACTGTATATTTAGTATTTCCTTTAAAGAAATTCATCTCAACTTCTTTTTTAAAGTCATTTTATTTTTTGTAGTTATTTTGTATTTGCAAAACTTTATATGTAAAAAAAATCTTACATTATAGAATTTTTATTTTTATGTCCTTTACCTCTTGTAAAAGATTATATTTCAACTTCTGTTATAAAGTAGTTTTATTTTTGTTCTTTACTTATTTCTTATTTGCAAAGATAAAGTCTTACATTATTACATTTTATTGTTATTTCTTCTATATCCTTTCAAAGATTATTCATTCTTTAATATTTTCTGTTAGAAAATATTAAAGAATGAATAGGTATGATATAAAAGCCATGATATCTTTATTCTTTCATATAAACCAGTTATAATGATATAGGTCTACTCATGTTAGAAGTGCATGGATAGGTTTTATGAGATTTGTAGGCTATAATCACTTAATTACATAAAGAGGAGTGGGGGGGGTGTAAAAAATATAGGAGTTGGAGCCAAAGGTTCCGTGTTCTGATTTCACAGCCCTGCTGATAACATTACAGACTCTTCTTAGGATTTTATCAAGAATCTTTAAATGCATAGCAGGAGCACCAGACTAGATATGGCAGCAATATTCACTGCATGGATGAATAGTAAATTTATAAATGTGCAAGATGGATTCTGGTATGAAAAATTCTCTGGTAGGTCACAGTGAATCAACTTTCCTAGAGTATAAATACTGGTTGTCTGCTTACATATTGAAATTTCATATATATATATATATATATATTATATATCTATCTAATATATATATCTAATATATATATCTTATATATATATATATATATATATATATATATATATATATATATATATATATATATATATATATATATATATATATATATATATATATAATAAAAGGCTTAAACACTAATGGTCATAATTTATTCCATTGGAATCGTAAATACGATCCAAATCATCAGACCTACAAATTCAAAATGAAAACAGAAAAAACAACTCCGAAATCAAAACAGAATTTAGAGAAAGTGTAAGTATGAGGAGGAGACAGTAAACCTTAACAGAGAGAATTTTTGGAGATGTGGGTGGGGGTGGATTTAAAAAAGAGGAGAGAAAGAAAGTCGATGGATGTCTAATACATAAAGATACATTTCGTGGTGACATATACACACCACAGACAATTCGGATAGGAAGGGGGGAAAAAAAAAAAAGAAAGGGTGGGGGAATCTATGGGACGAAGGAAAATAAAATTGTGTTTACTTAAAAAGGGCATTTGTAATTGGGAAAATTAGTATTGACTACAGGTTATAAATCAAATATAAATATATGAAGATGAATATAACGATTGTCTCATTTCTCAAGGACCAAATATTTCTATGTTCAAAAACACATACTAATACACACAAAAAAAAAAAAACATATACAAGTAGGTACATACACTTAGGCATGTACTCACACACACACACACACACACACCCCAGATATACGTGTACATACATATGCACATACATACACACATACACACACACATATATATATATATATATATATATATATATATATATATATATATATATATATATATATATATAAATATATATAATATATATAAAAAAACCTAAAAATATATTCACATCCACACATACACATATTCATCTATATTCATATACACACACTTTTCACATACATATACACATACATATGCCCCATGTATACATTCATACATACATACATACTTATACATACACATACATATACATATACACACATACATATATATATACCTATACATACATATATATACATATACATTCTCTCTGTTAAGGTTTCATGTCCTCCTCCTCATACTTACACTTTCTCTAAATTCTGTTTTGATTTCGGAGTTGTTTTTTCTGTTTTCATTTTGAATTTGTAGGTCTGATGATTTGGATCAGTTAGTTTGATTCCAATGGAATAAATTAAACCATGGAATATTAGTGTTTAAGCCTTTTATTATATCCCTACTCTGTCCTAGACATTGAGTTCTACCTGGATCCTTCCTCTTGAAAATTTTTTTTCTGAAAATATACATGTATGGGAATTTTTAGATATTTTTTTATGTATGTATATTTTCCACTAATATTATCATATCTATCTATCTATATATATATATATATATATATATATATATATATATATATATATATATATATATATATATATATATATATATATATATATATATATATATATATATATATATATATATATATATATATATATATATATATATATATATATATATATATATATATATATATATATATATATATATATATATATATATATATATCTATATATATATATATATATATCTATATATCTAATATATATATCTATATATCTAATATATATATATATATATATATATGACTCTTGAGATATTTCTTAAGGCTTTTATTTTATTTATTTACTTTTTGTTCTTGTGGTGTGGTTTGGGGTCTTGTGGCCTCAAATACAGTACTTACTATTACTAGACAAATATTAGTAGATAACACCAATATACTCTACAGCACCAATTGCAAGAAAAATACTCAAAACTCTAGAAGCTATTATTATACAAAATAAACAGCATGTATTAAATAAGATATCATTCATCACAGGAGAAGGTATCTGGAAGTGCATATGTTATAATTAATGTGTGCACATATTAGTATAATGATAAAACAGAAATTAATAAATAAATAATCTTTTTGTGTGGCTTTGTTCCCAATAGCTGATACACATGATGTCACACTAGACCATTTCAACTGTTCAGCTTCCCAAAGAATACCAGGATGCAGACAAAGGAATTCTAACTGTCACACAGACACCACATCAGTTCTTGATAATGACTGCAAAAGTCAAAAATACTTGAACAAAAATAACAAAACATCAACTTCAGATAGTTTATCTACAACCTTGAACACAATACTCAACATTTTATCTGAAAATTGAAAAAATACAATAAAAAATGAAACAGACTTTGATGGTTCTTTTTTAATTAAACTTGTTTGGATGACAACTTGCTGCTTATATATATATATATACACACACACACACATGTGTGTGTTACTTACTATTTATGTAGTTGCATTAATAAGTCTGCAAAAGTATATTTCGCATGGATTATGCACTTTTCAACTAAGTCTCATTCCTTGTTAATATAGAAGATTATATGGTGATGCTTTTGGATAAAAAAAAAATTTAGCTAAATCTATGTCAGACTATGAATTTATTGATATTGAAATATTTCATCTTGGATTCTAAAAGTAAGTTATTAGCTATTCTAAAACATACATAATTATCCCCACGTTATTTGGACTAGCATCTTCATCATTGTTGTTTGTAATGTTTTGGCTGATCTGTACTTTGGCCTTCCTTGGCAGTTGTATGTGTTACTTGCTGATCTTTAGAGGTTTAGCAATTTTTAATTTTCTCATCAAAAATGTCAACAGTAATTTGTTTTCTTTTGAGATTGATGGTGAACAGAAAAAAAATGTTGCAAATATATTGATTGGGTTTGCCCTAAAAATCTTAATCTCCATTATTTGTGGCTTATGGCCATGTCATATTGAAACACCAGATCACTGAAGTTAAGCAATGTTGAGCCTAGTCAGTACCTAGATGGGTGACTGCTTGGGAATACCAGCTTGGATGTGCAGGTAGTGCAATGTATAATGCCTTGGAATTTGAGATCAGAGAGCTGAGTTCCAATTCCCATTGGGTTCATTATATTCACTTATATGCAAATACCTTTGGGAAAGGTATGAATCCACCTCATCTTCCCACCCCAGATATGGGCTAATTAGTAAAACCTGTATCACTAAACCATTAATATTTAAAAAAAAAATTCTTTTACAAGCTAAAACTATATTCTGGCTTTAAAAAACCTGCAAAGGGTTGATAATCTATAAAAACTAATCAATTCACTCATTGTTTCTTTTTTTTTTTCCATGACAGAAAACTAAGAAAATAGTGACAGCTGATATTCAAATAAGCTAATAATTTTTTTTTCCTCTTAACAGATCCGAGGGATGACCATTGATGAAGCCCTAAAACAGTTGTCATTCTACAAGAGAAAAGGAGCTGTGGCAGTTAAAGAAGTAAGTCCTTTTAGGATGAAACAATAAAAAACTCTGTGTTGAAATAAGAATGGTTGTTGAATTAATTTTATTACAAATTTTCTGAAAAATCTTAATGCCAACTATGGAGTGGGCAAAAGAAAAAAAGTTTTATTAAGTAAAAATAAAAGATGTGTTTTCTTTTTTGTTAAATTTAAAATTTTGTTTTGAACCTTGTACTGTTTTGTCCCATCATGTCAGTCCTGGGTATGACAATAGACTACATCTGGCAGCAAGGCCTGTGATGGGGAGATTGAAGGTTTTGAGGAGGATGGAACCGCCTCTTAATTGCTGTTGTTCCTAGAGCCACCCTGACCCTAAGGTGGTAGCACCCGTAATGGCCCCAGTTATGGGAAAATAGTGAACTCCCAAACAAAAACAAAACTCCATGAAAGTATAAAAATACATTTTTAGATGAAAAAAAAATGATCAAAATACCTATTTGTAGTAAAATTACCAACAATACCTATTTATAATAAAATGACCAACAATGTATTTCCTCTGTAGCTGAAAGCATGCAATTTCATTCAAAATATATTTAGTTTAAGCCATAAGATTGTGTTCAAAATATTTAGATTTCAGCATTAAATAACTGATAGAGGTTGATATGTTGCTAAACAGAATCGACCAACATCCTAATTCCATATCTCAGCACTGAAAAGAATTACTCTAACTTCCTTTTATTGCCTTTCAGAAAATTGGCTTTTAATTTTATTCTGTTTTTTTCTTAAATATTAAGGCCAGGAAATGAAAATAAATAAATATACTGTTTAATAAATAAACAGAGCATTCATTAACTGATTACTTAGTGGTACTTTCAGTTTGGATTTATAAGATCTTTCTCTTAAAAGGGTTTTTCAGGGAACTTTGACTGTTATTGCTTTTTTTAGTATTGACGGGAGTTTCCTTTCTAATCTTTTGTTTAAGGTAGTGTGGAAAGTTAATATCTTGATTATATCATTATTTTCCTTTCTAGTTACATGCACTCTCCATTTTAGTTGTTGCTGCTGTTGGAAGTCTTCACTTGATGTGGTTTCTGTTATTTGGTAAAGCTTTTTGTCTATAAGGTCTGAAGGGAGAGTCTTCTTTAAGACCTAGAGAATTCACTTGAAACGATTTGTAATCAACTTACAGCCACATCACATTTGAACAACAGTTCTTGTATGATCACCAAAGTTAAGCAATATCAAGACTAGCCAATGCCTGGATGGGTGACCACTCTGGAATACCAGGTGCTGTAAGTTTGGATGTGCAGGTGGTGTAATGGATAATGGCTCGGAATTGGAAACCAGAGAGCTGAGTTCCAGTCGTTTTCATAATATTCAATAAAAGTAAATACCCTTGGGAAAGACATGAGACCTCCCTTCTTCCCCCAGCTATGGGTTAATTAGTAGGAGTCGTATCAGTAAATAATTATTCTTCCAATATAAAAAAAATATTTTCTGGCTTTAAATTATTGGCAAATGGTTGATAAGCCATAAAAAACAACCATTTTCATCCATGTTCTGAGAAAACTGCTGTATAGATGATCGTTTAGACAATTCTGAACAAGTTGGACACTATACATGATATTGAAATAAAAGTCTAGATCCGATGAGGCTGTTTAAGTACATAGTACTACTGTTGTCGTCTTTCATTTTTTAGTTTTACTAATATTGTCCCTATACAAGACCCAAGGGCCACCCAAGGTAGAGGGTTACTGAAAGCAGTAAGTGTAAAGGGTGCAGTTTATGTGGATATGTTAGAAAGATAACAGTTAACCATAGACTTGAAGGGTAAAAAGAGGATAATCATAAAAAAAATAAAAAAGAGGATAAATAACAATTAATCCTTGACAGAGGTTAAGATTTTAGTGATATTTACTAAAGTTTAAAGTTTACTCAATACAAGGCTTTAGAGCCATGGTTCCCAACATGGGGCAATTTGTTTTTTAATGGGGGCAATTCAAGAATGAGTTATTAACAGTGAATTTTTTTTTTAGTCAGTTTTAGTGAGTTATATATATATATATATATATATATAAAAACAATACCTATATACAGCATGCATACATAAAAATATTTATCTGAGTAAATGTGTAATTACGTATGTACTATATATATATATATATATATATATATATATATATATATGAAAATTTTTTTAACAATTTCTTAGTAATTTTTTCCTCAGTACTTCAATTGTCCTTTCGTTTCTTTTATTTTTCTCTTTCATGGAGGCCATGTTCTTTGGAAGCTTGTTTAGACCTAGTCAGTGGTCTTTTAGGCTCCCTCCATGTGAACAGGAGTTCACGTTTTGAATGATAAGAATTATATGTCCCCCACATCAGGAGTTTAGAGATGCTTAGGTGAGGCATGACCAAAGAAAGGTTGGAAACCACTGCTTTAGAATTATTCAAGGTAGAGGATTACTCTTAAAATGTTCAGATGAATTAGATGTGTGATAGGAATGAAAAAAGGAGGTGAAGATTATAAGGATAAGAGGGATAGATAATGATTGACCTTTGACATAAAGAGCTTAAAATTGTAGTGTTCAGGGAAGTATCCACATAGGAATCTGTTCCACAAAGTGTCAGTTCTTGGGAGAAAGCTGTTTGAGTGATAATTACTCTTTGCAAATGGAATATGGAGGAAATTAGGGTGATTCAACTCTGTGGAAGTAGCATGGCATATCCTGTCTGTAAAGGTCTGAACTCAGGGAGCTAAAGAATGTAGCACTCATCTGAACAGATCTAGAGATATTAATGATTTTGTATCTGTCGGAAAGAGGCCTTCATAAGGCTGCATAAATGATTTTGAACTTTATCAAGTCTGGAAAGTGAAGATTGAGTAGCTCCAATGCAGATATTGCAGCAATGTTCCATTTTTGGTCTAATCTGACTTATGTAAAGATAAACCGTGATAGGAGCAGTCAGATACTTCCTAGAACAATAGAGTGGGGCAACCATTTTTCTACCAAGTAAGAATATAGAAGTACCTTTTAGATGAATCTTAAACTTGCATTTCTGTACCAGATCAACTTTCCGAGATGACATTTGTACAAATTCAGCCATAAAAAAGTAACCAGATGGTGAAAAAAAATCTTCACAGAAATTAATCAGGAAATTTCTCAATTTCAAAATTGAAATAATTTAAGATATAATTTGCTAAAACAGTTTCATGCTTTATAAACATTTATGGTAATCCTTTTGTTACAGAATGCAAAGGCCAGGATCAGATTGCTCTGTGACTGACCAGAGTAACTCATAGGTGTGCTATTCTGACAGTGATAAAATGCCTTTGTCTGGGTTTTGGATATAAGTCCAAAATGGCACAAATGGGTTGCAAGAATTCTGAAGTATTGATACGCCTCCCACACTCACGGAGGGACACTGAGCCAATTTGCAACATATTTTTCTGCAACGTCATTCCTCCCACTGCTTCTTAGAATCCAAGCTGCCCCCAACTCTCTCCTAATTAAACGAATAACAATAAGAAATTGTCCTTTTCGTTGATACTGTTTTATGAAGTTGTGTGGGGACCAAGATGCAACACAGAATGCAACACTTGTACTTGGTGTAAAATAAACTACTATTCCTTGAACAGTGTAAAATCAATAAGACCAAGGCATATACATTTATTACAATTAAACATTATTACAACAGGGGATGCTAGACTATGCAGCAAATAAATGCTGAAAACATGGGACTTCTTGTACTGCTGGTGCCACATGAATTTGTGATAATCTGATGTGAAAAATACCTCAAAAGTTTCAAACTGTTGATGCAGTTTACACTTGATGCACCATATTGCAACTTCAGCAATAGATATAACATATCAGTTGTTTTAGTAGCAATTTGACAATATTTACATGATTTGCCATACCAGCGATAACCATCTGTTGCATGTTGCCCAAATGTTTGGTTGCACTGGTTTCCCTCTAACTTTTCTATAAATATTTTCATGGTAATTGTTCTGATGAGCTTTTCTCTTTGATACCTCGACTTTATGAATTTAAGTGCAGTACTAGATTGGCAGCTAGGTCTCATCAATTTACAATTGAAATGGCTAAATGTAACCATATGTATAATATGTTAATAGTTTCTTGCTTGTTTTCACACTTCTTGTTTCTGGCTCTCCTGTCAACTATGATCTTCAGAAATTTAAATGCAATATCAATCATTATCTTCTATCTCCTTAAATCTTGTTCAAGCAAGGCAACAATGAAAAGGTCTACTGGAAATGAAAGAGAATGAAAAAAGCTTTAGAAGAAACTGGAAACCCAAATTATGTAAATTGTATTTGGTTAATTTACTTTATTAGCGTTAAAATGATTTTAAACTTTTTTTTTTTTTTTTTTTTTGCAGGTGCTGTTGGAAGCCCAAGAAATGGCTGTAAATGAACATGGAGTGGAATTTAAATCAAATCTTTGGATATGTGAGTATTTTCTTTTGAATTTTTAAAATTTTTTGGGCTTTTCTTTTCAAAATTAAATTTACCTTAAAAAAAAAAAAAAAAAAGATGCTCCTAATGTTTTATAATTTTGACAAGTGTTTATTCTAGTTAGTGAACTTTGTTTGGTTTTCTTGGTTGCTTTTGTTATTCCAACAACATTTTAACAAATCCATTCCATGTACAGCCACTTTTAGAATGCCGATACCTGAAAGTAAGACATGAGAAATACAAGAAACCCTTAACCTTGGGGGGGAAGATGTCTGATATGACAGATCACATTTAGAAGGGAGAGGAGATCTCATTATTGTCTCTAGTATGAGGTCCAAATACTAGTTAGGAACATCATTAGAAAGAGGAATTAACCTAATGAATAAATATGTCAGGCCAATATGGATTTTTATGTTTAGAAAAAAGTGTGTATGTGTGAGGAAAAAAAATGAAATCTCGTGTTATGCAGGTTGCTGAGAATGAGTTGAGTCTGTTGGTGTATTTAATACCATTTTTTTTCTGTGTGTGTGTTTTTTTTTTTTTTTTTTTAATCGATTTCACCCCAAGCAAGGCAGTAAAGCCATTAAGACACAAGGTATTACTGGGAGCGGAAGAATTAGGAACAGAAACATTAATAATGAGTGGGAAGAGAAAAGATTAATCATGAGGACAGTAGATAGTGATTGACATTGCATTTAAAATTTTGCAGATTAAAGTTGGCTAAAAAGCATGGGGCTGGAAGAGAGTTTCACAAGTGAGAAAGTAACTATTAGTATAGAACTTATGAGATTACATCTTAGTTAATTCAAATATAAAATGATGAGATCTTGTTGCCAGTTTAGTACTGAGCTTAAATCCAAAAGGTCTAGGTACCATTGCAAAAAGCTCAGCTGGAAATACTACTGTAAAAGTATTTATAGAAAAGGTATAGAGAAGCAACTTTATGGTGGTGGGAAAGAAGCTGAAGCTGAGCTGCCAGATTAGGACTGATGATATTGCTGATTCTTCTTTGGATTTTATCAAGAAGCTCAAAGAAAATGGCAGCAGTATTTAAAGTATGGCTGAATGGGAGACTTATAGATATGTAAGATAGAATCTGGTTGAAAAATTGTCTTGCATGACACAGTGAACCGAATTTCTTAGCAGCTGACATAGTAACAGATTCAATATAGTCTTTCCACTTCATGTCAGCTGAGAAGGTTACATCAAGAAGGCACACCAGGTCACTTTATGAAAAGATACTTCTCCTGAGGGATACTTTTGGAAATGTTTCTCTCACATCATTTTATTGCTGATACTTAAATATCAATCCCAATTTGTTTTGGCAAGGGATTGTCAGTGGTCATAAATTAATCAGAGAAGGAGGTAAACATTTATATATAATTATTTAAATGTTTCTTTTAAGGGGAAAGATATATGACAAAGTGAAACAAGTTTTCATGTGATGCATTTTCTCCTTTAGGACTTCATCAGACTAAGTTTATGTTTATGTGACTACACATATGCACGAAGGTGAGATGCTGGGAATTTAAAATTTAAACACTTTTTTTTTTTTAAATGTCTTTTTCAGTATATAATCTGATTTCATTTGGATTTTTTTTCTTTCTATCACCTTTCTTATTGAATATCCCACACTGTGATAACAAAAGATCTGCCATGAATGGTGAAAGGTTTTAAGAACCTAGATGCAAATTTACTGTCGATGATCTTGTGATTAAAGCACTTTCTATACATTTTTGACTTAGTAAATTGTTTTCTCTTTTAATTAGAGTAACATTTTTAAATCAAAATTGTGGTCGGTCTCATTATGGTAAGCAATTAATACGTTTAATGTGTTGTTTTGTAAAAGATCCCTTTTGTGTCCATGTAATCTTTTAATTAAATTCATTGAAGTTTCTCTGATGTATTCCTTGCAGCAATTATTACAGGTAATAGAGTAAATTCCTCCTTCAAATTTTAGTTTATTATTTTGTTTGGTATTAAGTCTTTTAATGTTTCTCAATGATTTTGAGCTCCAAGAGTTTGCTTTACAAAAATAAGCTTTTCTAACAAATATGAAAAAATTTGCTGAAACAAGATTTCTTTTATGTAAGAAATTTATTATTAAAAAAGAAAAAGAAAACATTCTTTATTTTACATAATTTATTTCTACGGAAACATTTTAAATCTTGAGGTTTTATTTGGGTGGGGTAGTTGTGCATTGGTTTATAATTCATAAAAAGACCATATTTTTTATTGGTCGTCTTTCGATAATGTTTCCCAGCATCCACTAATAACGTTTGAAGCAATAAAAATGTTGAATTAAAATTAAATCCATAAACTTTTTAGAAATATATATTTTAGTTTGGACATAGAAATCAACACTGCATGTCAAGGTCACAAGGATCAAAATCAGTACGGAGTTTTAATGGTCAACTAGACAAACTCGTTAACCCTTACTCTATGCTGAGATGCCCCAGCAAAAAAATAAGAACTTAAAGTTAAATAACTCTTACATTGGTGGCAATCATTTTATCATCCTCCTCCTCCAACCTGAAAAAGAGGAACAACATTTCCATGCAATAGAAGAAATGACTGAAATACCAATATTTCTGTAAGAATTGATCTTGTGACATGATCTTCCTCTTTCCACTGAAGATAAAGTTAGTAAGATTCAACCTCAAAGCTGGTGTTAGTGTTCTATGAAAAAAAAAATAATTAAAAGCTTTAATGTAACTTTTTTAATTTGAAATTAGGGGTTCCTAAAACTTATTTTGGACAATGAAGTTTAGGTTTTTAAAAAGTAGGGTTGGGGTAGAAAAGCAAATTTTACTTCATTTCTTTTTCTGGGGGATCTAAGGGCAGAAGAAACAGACTTTAATTTTTCTTCTTCATAATCCTTTCAGTGTGCTTTCAGATAGCTTGGTGGCACCCATCTCCTCTCCAAGCTCTTGACTGACAGCTGAAGTCCATGGAATAGGGTGTGGGTTTCCCTCGGTCTGTAATACTAGACTTGAACTTAGTAAAACCACTAAAATGTGAGGGGTTACAGAGTGTTGAAGAATTAGGAACAGAAGCATTAATAATGAGCAGAAAGAGGACAGTAGATATCAACTGACATTGCATTTAAATTTTTGCAAATTAAAGTTGTCTGGAAGACATGGTGAGAAAAAAAATCTATTAGCACTGAACTTATGGCTCCATCTAGCCAGCTCAACTGTAAATTGATGAGCTCTTGACACCATAGTGAAGAGTTCATCCGAACAATTACCATGAAAGTATTTATAAAGAAAGCACAGAGAGGCAATCTTACAGTAGTAAGTAAATGACTGAAGCCAAGTTGTCAGATCAGGACCAATAATATTGCTGATTCTTTGGATCTTATCAAGGAGCTCAATGTAAATAGCAGGGGCTATATGTAGCATCAATATTCTAAGCAAGGATGAATGGTAGACTTATAGATATGTAAGATAGATTCTGGAGAGAAAAATTATCTCACACGACACAGTGAAGTGACTTTTTTAGCAGCTGACCTAGCAATGGATTCAATATTGTCTTCCCATTTCCTGTCAGCTGAGAACGTTATCCCAAGAAGATGCAACAAGTCACTTTTTTTTTGGAGGTTAACATCAGTCATTGCAATGGAAGGCAGGGAGGGATCACAGATGATTAATGGAGAGAATTCATGCCTTTTCCAAGGGTTATTAGCACCTAAATGAATGTGTAATGAAATTGGCTATCTTAATACTGGTAATACTTACTGTATACCTACTTTTGCAGTCAACGTATAGTCTATGTTCCTTGCTTCAGGTATATGTTTCTCATGGAAAAAGGGACAAATAAAACCTGACCAGCCTAAAGGATTTTGCTTCCTGTGGGTTTAAAGAATCCTAAGAGTAGTATAGTTATTAAATTTTAGCTTGGCACAAGGCCACATTTTTTCACTTAATGAGCACTGAACTTACTACTTAGTAGTTATGATTTGCTAAATGTTACCCTATAGTGAGATATCTTTTCATTTATATATTAAAAAAAAGCAGTTAAAGTTTGATTCTTGCTGAGAGATACATTATATTGAGTAAGACTTTCAATTACCCATGTGGCAGGTGTCAATTTCACTGTTTGAATAAACATCCCTGTTTTTTTTTTTTGTTTTTTATTTTTTTTAAACATATTTACCCTGTTATAGAATGTGAAAGTCAGGGCCAGAAGGGTCAGCAATTGGCCAGAGTACCTCGTTGGTAGGGTATTCTGACAGTGATGGATTACCTTTATCTGGGTTTTGAATACAAGTCCAAAATGGTGTAAATTCAACAAAGGATCTCAAGAATTCTGAAGTATTGATACACCTCATAAACCTAGGTTAGTGACTGGCTAAGACCACCCATGGAGGGAAACTGAGCCAACATGCAACATGTGTTCCTGTGACATCACTCCTCGTACTGCCTCTTAGAATCCAAGCTGCTACAACTCTCCCCTAATAAAACTAATGAGAAAAAAAGAATGGTCCTTTTTGTTGATACTATTTTATGTAATAGCATGGGGATCCAGAGACTGCACAGAACGCAACAACCCACTAAAAATAAGGGCCCATAATTGCTCAGTTTTGTATCCAAAATATAAACAAAGCAATTTCTAAAGAATTAATGGATTTATTTTTAATCTGACATTTTTATTCAAACGTTATATAAATAAATACGGGGCTTCTATTTCAAATACGAGTATCCACTAATAATAATGTTTGAAGCAATATATATTGTGGTACCCATCAAGAATGACAAGATTATTTACATATGGATTGACACTTCTGCTTGTCAGAGTATCTGTGCCCTCTATGAACGGTTATACACACTTGTGTATAATACAGTGATATTTTATATACTTTTCATATTTTATTAAAATTGCTGGAAGAAAAATAGAAGATATCACAGTATGTAGGAGGGGGTTACAAAAGAAAAAAACATTTGGTTCTGATTGCTTCAATCTTCCTTCTTCTTTTCTTCTTCTGCTCCCTC